ATTTTTTAATACTAATGCATATTTGCACATTCATGAGAACTATTGGGTCATCCAAGGCACTGAAACTCAATGTTGCTCTGATTTGTGCACAGAAAACTTTGAGATTTTTTAAACCACTGCTATGGCAGATTTTATTTTCTTTGGCAATTTATTGCTGTGTAAGTAGATGGCAATAATCCGGCAAAAATCATTTTCACAGAAATGTTCCCAGATAGCAGATTCTCAATTTAAACATGAAAACATGCAACCGGAACCATGTCTTCCTGGATTTACATCAAGCAAATAGCGCCCTCACTTGTCCAGAAATGCTTGGTCAAATTTTTAATGTTTGAAAAAGTGCACCATTCAGTTCACGTAACTCAAAAAAGATGTCAAGCAGTCTTCATACATGGAAGAAGAGTACAGAGATACACAAAAAATAATTCTAAGAAAATTTCATAGCATAGTTCCATTAAATTCCAACCTAAATGTATTTCATTTCCATGTATCCACTGCCCAGGAGCTACATGTATATTGCACATGTACAATGTACCAGTAGACTGTTTTAGGTCTTGTTACTTGGTATAGGCCCATAGATCTCTCTCCCTCGAATATTTTTCTGAGGGTAAAAGCACCATCTTCCTCCCATCCCAATTTGTATCTGTGTGTTCCTGTATCCACTCCCTGGATAGTACTTCGGATGTTTTTCTGACATCTTTGAACCGTATGGCCAATGCTTACACGTAGGATATACATGTACTTTGAATTCCTTCATATTCATTCAATTCTAGGGGTTAATATTTTGTTGCAGGGTTTTCTGTAGTTTCTCTTTTTTTACCATTTTCCTTGACATTTTTCTTTACAGTAAAAGAGTATGGTCATAAGCGCATAATTCATTTTGAACAAAATAGTGGGAAAAAATTACCACATTTTAATTTTGCTGAGTTCTAAATGTGGAGTTGTCGCATGTAAAGCAACAATGTCATAGTTCATCCTCATGCATAATATGTTAGACATCATACTTCCAAATTCAGCTGAGCAAGTAGAATAGACCTACATGTACATGTAAAGCATAATGATGTAATGCAGTGTTTACTGTGGTGCATTGTTGGTGAAAGGTAGGGACGACCGTATGTGTGCTATTGCTAGAACATCATGCGCGTAGAAACTTGTCTAAAAGATCCCGAGATTGAGAAGACCTATATTTTCCAAAAGGGTACATGTACGTGTTAACTGTTGTTTGCCATTGTAAGTATCAAGCACACGATGAACACCAGAGCCGCATTTTTCAGGCTTCCGCGAGACTGCAAGTTTTGCTCCATCTACTGATGAGCTTGTCCACCATCTTTGATTTCTAACCCCACTTTCCACCCTCATAAAACACTGTGGTAAAGATTGCATTGTGTCATTGCGTTTTAGGTCTATTAACCGGAAATTACTGGTACACAATAGGCCAATTTCAGTAATTCTGGTCAGAGTTAAGCATTGTTACATGTAACATGTACATGTATTTCCCAACACATCATGAGCACTGAAGTCTGGGCTAACCTTAATTTGTGCTTTAAGTGTTTCACTTTTTGCTTCACGCAAAATTGAGTATGGCGTGCTGTTCTTATCTGTGTTAACTCCACATATTATGGAATGCGGGTAGGAAAACAGTCTTCAAATTTTGGCCACTGTGTGTCCCACTTTGGACTCCTTAAAAACAGATTGACCCACACATGTTTATGGATGTACATGTACATGTATTATTCAGTCAAGCTCCAAGAAGCACATGTATATGAGACGGAATTTGGTTACTGTTGTGGAATTCACACTGTGCCCTAACACTGAACCAAGCAGTATTGTGGGAGTGACAAGGATAACAAATAAACTTGATTTTTTTGTAGAAAAGGCATTGATGTAACCATAAAAGATGGGACATTCTTGTGCACTGGGGCAGACCGTGTTCATTTTCCAGAGACCCTCTTTGTGATGTGGATGAAACTGTGTCAGTAATCCATTTAGTAGTGTCAGTAGCCCATGGAATGCTGTACAGGTAGTAGTTTGCACTGGAATTTCATCTTTTCAGTGAGTTCAAATGGCTAACAGATGTATGTTTGCTGCGTGACACGTAAAATACCCACCATTTGAAAGAGCTTTAAGGCTGCTCAAGGCAATTTCTTACCATAGTGTTAAGCACACAAAATTACGAAGGAAGAAAAACTTTCCTTTCATTTAATAATATTACAGAATTCCTGAGTGAGAAAAATTGTTTCATTTGACAAGATACTTATCGATTGTTCTCCGCAAGTAGTTTGCTTATTGGATTTATACTATTGTTAGTAGGTATTTTGAATCATATTGAATATAGGTTTAATTTGCACTGTTATCTGCTTTGAACAAACATTTTCCATTTGTAGGCTACCATGCTGTCCTTAATTGAGACCAGATACTTTGCTTGTAGATTTGGAGAGCCTGTGATGTAGTACCAGGACAGGTGCGCCTACATGTACATGTACATGTGTGTATTACAGTGCCTTGATAATTTAATCTACCATCTTTACAAAGTCTGGCCATTTCAAAGTCACCATACATGTACATGTATCAATCAGTTGTTTTGGCCTGATATTGATGGGTTTGCTTCTGTAACGGCAAACCACAATTGAAGAATGTGCCTATAGGTGCTTACCACACATGCTACACTGTTGTATTTTACCAGAGGAAGATTTCATGACAGATCCACCCAATAATGCATGGAAAACAAACACTTTACACTGTGAAGTACAATTTACATGTACATGTACATGTAGGTGTATTTTTTGCTGCATTTGCTCATTTTAAGCAGACCAAGAGGGCCGGTTCATCATTACTTACTTAATTGTGACAAGTTAGGCCTATACTTTTCAAAGCTGGAGGTTAGAACTGCACTTTAGTTGAACTAAATGTACGTTGTGTATGTTTGAAGTGTTTGAAGAAGTACTTTAAACATAGTTCCAACTCTGCACTGCTCACCGGAATCTTGCTTTTAGACGTTACTTGTTACTTTCTACCTCCATGCTTTGTTATACCATTGATTTTGCATTTTTAACACCTACAGTGTATGTGTGTGTATACATGCATTTAAAAATTGGCGTGTACTGATAATTTGGAAATGTGTCCTGGGAAATAAATACATGTACATACATACACATGTACATATTTAAATTGATATTTTTAAATTAACACCAAATGTTTTTACAATTCTGCCCCAGAGATGTCCATAATATATTTTTGAAATATACATTGCCGTCAGGAAGTTTCTAAAGTACATCAACAACTCTCAACAGAATAAAAAAATGTTATTATAGAAACTCTGGTGCAGGTAGACATAGGTTTCAACTATACATGTATATATGTAAACATCCAGGAATTCTAAATCTTATCTTTTTTGCCTCTAATGGTTATAAGTTAATTTATCTTGTATCATTTTTTAAACCGGATTAGTCTTGCCTGCTCATCATTGCGTCATTGTCCAAGAAAGTCCTTTATTTGAGGAAAGCAAGCAGATTAACACAAAGCATGTGTTTACTTTTTATAGATAGCTTTATGATTTTTATCTGTGTACATAATGGTTATCTACTGTACACACTCGGGAGGATGTATTTGAACAATTACTATCAGGATATGATAGGCAAGGCCAAGCTCTTTCTACCTGGTTTTGTGCTGAGTTACTAACCCTTGTAGTAAGACCAACAAGTAATTTAGGTCTTGGTAACAATGAAGGGAAATCCCCTCCCCGCCCCGCATTTTTGCATTTCTGTTGACACACATCATATACATGTATACTCTTAGTAGGCGTCCATTTTGAATCTAATCACTGTGATATGACAGCTTGGATGCTACAGGTACGTTGTGCATGCAGTCTTGTATCATCCCGGATCCTGTAGTTAGTCTATGTAAACTTGTCTATGGATCCATGACACCCTCAGCATTACATGTACATGTATACTTTAGGAGTGCCATATGGTGCTATGGCATTCCACGTAAGTCTGTACAGAAAAGTGCATTTTGTCACTTACATGTATACGATGTGATTCACAGTACCAAATTGTGAATTAAAAAGCAATACATTCATTATCCTGCTCAAATTTGTGGAACATGGAATAACGTACAGTTAGTGCATCGTGTACCACACACCACTTGACCTTCAGCTTCATGCTTGCACAAATGGGATAACTAATGATATACCATCATTGGAAATTCCACACAAAAGTGGAAATTTGGTCGTGCTTTTACTGACCTCATTAAAATAGGTAATTGCTAACAAATTCAAAAAGACACTTAAAAAAGACAATGGAAATAATTAGTAATATAATATCATATTAAACAAAAACCCCTTAAAAAATCTAATTAAATTGACCTAAAACTACAGTAAAACAGTTATAAAAGGATACATAAAGGTAATCAAACAAGATTAATTAAGGGAGTAACTGATCTGATAAATTTGCTGGATAGCAAATTTTGGTATCTGCAAGTATGACATTAAGGAATCACACGACCCCCATTATTTCTGAGTGTTTGAATATTGGGTTGCAAGCTTCAAAGACGACGTACAAATACATGCAACATTGACATGTGTTTTGAAGAGACAAGACATTTAACAAATTTTTCAAATAATTGATGGCAGCATTGTCCTAAAGATGGTAACTGAAGACAGGGAAGGACAGTCAAATATAGTCAGAGTATTTGTAACCAACAATTAGTTGACAGGTGCATTTTTTTTAATTTGTTCAATTCTTTGAGTTTGGTGCACTGTGAGAAGGCTTGTAATGTACACACTGCGTTTTTGTTTTGATGTCTTGTTTAGTTTTATTTGGTAGCTTAAAGGCAGCTATAATGGCTTTAGAGAGTGTGATAACTAAACCGAAACCTCAATGAGACATGAAGTGTTTTCCCTAAGCATTTTAATTTACCATAGATTCTGGAATTTTTCCTCTATGTTTACTGTGATACCTAGCCTAATGTTTACAAGCCCAAATCTGTTGGTTTGTCTGTTGCAGAGTCAAGTGGAATTAGTGAAGTCTGAGGACAGTGAGAGCGGAGATGAGAACGAAGAGAGGGGCAACTGGGGCAGCAAATTAGAGTTTCTTCTGTCGTGCACAGGCTATGCTGTGGGCTTGGGGAACGTGTGGCGTTTCCCGTACCTCTGCTATCGCAATGGAGGAGGTGGGTGCTGGCCACTTGACATTCAAAAAGTTCTGTGATTCATGCTTCTTTTCACTGGGCTAAGAAGCATTTGTGACGTTTCTTGGACATTTTTCATAACTGCTCACTCACAAAATAATACTACAGAAGGACATTTGAAAGACAAAATTCCTGGTTGGTACTGAAGGACAAATTCCTGCTATAGTGACAATTTTAACACTTCTAAAATGTTCTAAGAAGTATCTTTTTTTCAGTTTCAAATGTGCATGTACAGTACTTGATTATGCTGAATTTTCTATATTGTCCATGACGTAAATCTACACATACATGTACACGTACATGTACCTAGCCGTTCATACAATGTAATTTCCTTGCGCTTACATCGTACATGTGTACATCGTATGATGTGTAAGAAGGAGAGTATATAGGGAGCGTTAATTGCTAAATTTTTGAACTCAAAACCTTGAACTGTAGAATATAAAGAAGTAAAGGGAAGAAGGTTTTTTTCCTGATGACAACCACCAATACGTGTATCTGCCATGTCTTCTGGGAGTCATTTCATGCATGACGAACTACATGTAATTGCAGATGTTTTTATTCCTCATTGTGTATGCTTCATTGCTTTAACAAGAAACTTAATGATTGGAAAAAGCCTTGAAGAGGATCAATTTGGCTATCTCTTGCTCTACAACCAAGGAAAAAACACCTATCAATCTCCACTCTTGGTCTGTTGATTAATACATGTACATGTACGTGTATATCATTGACAGATTGCATCACTGGGAACCTTGGCCATGCATTAACAGATCCACCTCAAATCTTATTGCTGATACACTGTTCTGAAAGGTTATGAATATTCAGTGTACATCTCCCACGGATGATGGATTGTTTCAAGCATCGGTTGGCAGAGCTACACCTTTTGATACCATTTTCATTAGAATGAAAAGGTTACAAAGTGTATTTCAGAAGCTTATTGCTGATGGCGAGGTAGCAATAACCTTGGCAACCTTTTCCAAGAAGTGCAAGAAATGATACGATAGTACATGTAGATTATTCTAGCCTTGGCCAAGTATTGGCCATGAATGCCAAGGCTACTCAGTCTTCCATTAGTTGTTGAATATCAGCAGCCCCATCAGCTCCAGAGTACCGGCCTACACAGCATATTGATAAGAGTGGAATACCACCTTCTACTGTGGCATAAGTAACTTGAAAACTATTTGTATTCTATTCAGAGAAAAACTTCAAGTGCTTAACTAGTCCAGCTCCATATTAATGCCGATGTCCAGTTTACAGAGTTGTAGACTTGAGTCACTTGACTTAGACTTGAGTCAGACTCGAGTCGCTATTTATGTGACTCGTGACTTGACTTTTCCTTATCAGTTTTTGACTTGTGACTTGACTTGGACTTGCAAAAATGACTTGTGCCTTGACTTGGACTTGCATATTAATAATGACTTGTTACCAACACAAGTCAGAAAACTACACACATTATTCAACTGAACCCATTACAGTTACATTACATTGTACGTCCGAATCACTTGGCTGTTAACTGTAGTCTGGAACATTTGTTCTGTAGTGCTTATGTTTCTCATTGTGCTTTTTCTCCGACTTTCCGGGGGAGCCAATCAACAGCTTCGTTTGAGCGTCATATTGAATTATTTATATCAGTTCAACCTGTCACTCAGCCTAGAATTAAAAACTACAATGGTGTCACGATCTCGAAAGTGAAAGATACATGTACGCTGGTACTTGGCAAAGTCCCCACACTTGGATATGATGCCAAGGTTTGCTCATCGCCCAGTGCCCGAACAGGGTGCTTTGAAGGGCTGATGGCCTTACACAGATGTTAGTGAAGGAAACAAGCCACACAGGGTCACAGCTAATGACGTGCCTAGCATTCTGGGTAAATTTCTACCAGGCACACAAGCTTGCTCAATGACTTGTGACTTGCTTGTGCTCGGACAAAAAGACTTGTGACTTGCTTGTGCTTGGACTAAATTGACTTGTGACTTGACTTGACCTGTGATCAAATGACTTGTGACTTGGGGCATGTAATTGAAGCAAATGACTTGTGACTTGGTTTAGACTTGCAAAAATTGCCTTGTTACTTGACTTGGACTTGCATGACTTTTTATCACCTCTGATAGTTTATTCCATAAACTATGCCCAAAATCCACTGTAGTATTTGTACATGTACATACATATATGTGAATAGCAATGTTGTTTTACCCGCGCTCCGAAGTAATACCAACAGTAATGTATTCCCGACTTTAATTTTTCCATTAGGTGCTTTCCTGATCCCCTATGTCATCATGTTGGCCTTTGCTGGCCTGCCTCTGTTCTTCCTTGAGGTCAGCTTTGGCCAGTATTGCAGCTTAGGGCCCATCTCTTGTTGGAGAGCAGTTCCAATGTTCAGAGGTATGTCAATACAGGTGCACTCATGTATAATTTCTTTTAGAAAATAAAAAGGTACTTGTATGGCTGACGGAAGGAGAGATAATGCTGTAACACTTTGGCCCCAGCGTCGTTAATCTTATAGTGGACCCTTTTATACTAGCTGGCTCATAAATTTTTGAAAAGGGCACGTACATGTACTTGTATGGCCTTTTTTTGGCCTCCCCAAACCCTGTACCCTTATCTAACTTAATAGCACCATTGCATTCAAGAGGCCACTTTACAACTCAGCAGTCAATGGCTAGCTTGTACATGTACATACCCCAGGAGATACTGCATGAACATGCAGAGGGTCTGAAAAGTACATGTTATACTCGCTGTCTTTGTGCGCAAAAGAATTCTGATTTCAAATTTAATTGTGCACAACCAAAATGGAAATTCCCCCAAGTCTGCTGCTGAGGGGATACACTGACATGCAGATGTTAAGTTTTCCCCAAAAGATGTCCTCTCTGTGGGAATCTCTCTCTTGGCCTTTTTTTGTGTCTTTACTCCCTGAAACTGACCTTGTGAATTGCAGCAATATACGTGTTTCTATATCTAAATTGCACAATTTGTCCGTCACATTGGTTGTGAGTGGTGATTGACACTTTTACAATGTCTGGCTGGTCATTACTGTATTCAGTTTTGCCAAAATATTGGTACATGTACTCGCTGGACATGCCGGTATGAAACCTCATCATTTTTTTATTGTGTCATATAAACTCATTGATGCTTCGGCAAATGCTAGATTGAATATTGTCATAAAAATTGTACATGTACTATATTTGTGTGTTTGTGCTCATACATCTAGTAGTCTTTTACATTGGTAATAACACGGACAGTGCATGTATTTACTATGTGTCAAGTGTCAACTATAAAACTTCCATGTACATGTATGCACTAAAGATCCATCATGTTACATATGATTTGCAAGTTGCATACATGTATATTTCTTTTAAAACCCTGTCTGAAACAATTCTCTTGAAAGATAGGTTTCAGGGATTTTTCAGGATACTATGGTTAAGTTACATGTAGTACATGTTTAAGCTACCTGTATATGTATTATAATATAGGCCTATCACTTTTCAACTATCGGTATATGTGTACTGTGTACATGTACAATGTATGTACGTGTAGGTAAAGTGGTTCTGTCATCATTTGTAACTTGTAACAATAATAAATAGGAACAGAATAATTTGTGTAATGCATCACATGGTTCACATTTGCCTTGATGCTGTTTTTCCAAAGGAGTTCAACTGAGATCAGGAGATTTTGATGAGATTGATAGCCTTTTCTGTATTGGTCATCTGCGAAGTGTTGACTGTACCGGTACCAAACTGTACCTTTTGACCACATGACACTGATGTCACATGTGCAGAAATTAGCTCTTATCACTGGAAATATTTTAACATGCACTGGCAGCAGTACACACTAAAATTATAATTTCATAGGGTGATATTCACAGTGATAGACTAGTTGAGACTGGCTGTTTTGCCAAGTCCTAAACACGCACAATACCATGTACATGTAGCAAAATTCCCTAGGGTACGGTTTTTATCTGTACAAATACAAGTCGAGTAAATGTTCTCACTAATGATCCTTTTTCACAGATACAATCCAACTAGCAGCTCCACTCCGCTATAAATGGTATATACCGGGTACATGCATCTACCGGTATTTATGGTCCATTTCATGGACACACATACAGACCAGTGCATACAGGTAGTAAGCACACAGCAGTCTTACCAGTCTAAAAACCCTACATTCATGTTAATTTGTTTGTAAATTACCACGACCTGGGCTCTCGTATTGTATATATACTGTGTAAGCTATGCATTCTTGATGTACAGTGTTGGCACTGCATAGAGCATATGGCTTGCCAGTGAATGTCATGTGCATGTATGAAATTGTACACAATGTGCAAAAACTGGAGCTTTAAAGAAAGGCATCAACTATAGTGTTTATAACTGTGCATGTAGGACTATAAATACTTCCTGAAAATCAAGTTACTTGAAAAGTATTATGAAATGATCTGGTTGAAACCACAATAAGGTGGCCCTCTTAGAAGTTAACCATGTTATCCAAATATCCAAAATGTGCATGTACCTGTATATCACTTATCCAGTATCAAAATAAGTAACAAAAAGCAGGAAGTGATATTGATTTCCTTTTTTTTCCTCAAAAAAGTTTGAAAATGAGATGAAATGTGTTCCTAGCAATCTTGAATAATTCAGAAACAAGTAACCTCAATTTGTATTTATTACACAACCAACTGAATTGTCAATAATAAACCCACTGGGTACTGCTGCTAAACTAATAAATGAAGGCTTTCAGCTTTGTTGTATTTGGAGGAGGGCTGTATGACCCTGAATATTTACCCCGCTAATATTGAACAGTGGGGCTAAGATGATTGAGATCATGCAGGTGTTATGTAGTGCTGACCAAAGAAATTACCCAGTTCAGGCAGGGGGGTTGGATATAAAGAAAACTTTGTTTGATGTCAGCTAGGCCGCTCTCATAACTTTTGGTGTTTAAGTTTGGTTCTGTTGGTTTTGTACATCACTAAGAGTTGGCTTTGTTTGCCAAGCCTTTTTAGTTTTTTATTGAAGTATTTTATTAGTGTCAAGGTGTGTCACGTTCTTGTTGGCCTTTGTTGTGTCACCGTTGCTTCTGTGGTGATGCATTGGAGTTTGGTTAGTGCTCTGTACCTGTATAGGAGATTTTTGTTGCTATGGCAAATACAAGAAGCATATACCGTAACAAAGAAAGGCGTGCACAGTTAATTTGAAACATAATGCTGAAGTGGGGAGGGGCTTACATTTTCTTGTACCCAGTGGTACCAGCTGACCAACCACAAGTATGGGGATTGTGGGTGGCCCTGATGCCCTGACTAACGGACATACATGTACATGTACATGTGGATGTTGAGTCAAACATGACAAACAGCAAGAGTGAAGTACGGTACCCAGTCACTTCTAACTCTACATTGGTTTGATAACCAAATCGGAGAAACTGTGTTTTTAACCCTTATCTGATGAACAGAAATTGTCTGTAGAGGGCACTTTGCTTGGGGCCACAGACCGCCATGCTTCTATGACAGAAGGGCAGACTTGCAGGAGGAATTGTTTCTTTCAAATCAGTAACGTCCCTTCAACACATGTTCCCCAAAATGCCATCAGAGATGTTACATATAAGTTCTTAGTTTTTCCCCGCCTCATCAATATGTTAAGTTTATTTAAAAACAGTGTTATCAAGCTGTATAACCTGCTTTGAACTGTTAGAGTGATATATACTTTTTTAAGCCAAAATTTAATATTGTAATGCATACAAGTACTTTGAAAACATGTTACAAAATATTGCACCTGCTTAAGCTTTGTTGTTTGCTGTACATGCAGTAGATACCTGAACTGTCTGTGACTTTCCCGTTGCATGTCTCTGTCAGTGAGCCTTAGACCATTTATTGATCAAACCTGAGCTTTTCCACAAAAAAAATTGAAGTTAAGAATTTGTGTGTTTTCAGGCGTTGGATATGGCATGCTGATTGTTTCAGCTTACGTAGGCATCTACTACAATGTGATCATCATGTACACCCTGTACTACATGTTTGCCTCCTTTACGTCAGTCCTACCTTGGGTTGGCTGTGGCAGAGAATGGAATACACGCTTCTGTTCTGATATTGTCAGAGACTGTTTGAATAATAGAGGAATTGTTACTTTCAACAACACGTAAGTAAACAATGTGTTAATCTATCTTTCTTGATGCATTCAATGCTATTTGTCCGGTTACATGTACAGCCGCTCTTGATTGGACTATGGCTGCTGGGACTGCTCACTTTTTAATCAGATTTTCCAGTTGCATGCCTGACTTTGAAATGAATATATGTACATATATGAATTGTATTATGTTTGAAATTTGTCAAATAAAAGCATAAGTAGAATTGTTTTCAAAACAAAATAATCTCTTGGAAGCCTAGTAATTGATGCATGTTTTGCTCTATAATTTGTTTCAGATGTGTCAAGCTAAGTAGCTTAACAACAGATGAACTAGAGTCATACAACATCACTCGTAACTATGGAGGCTACAATTTGTCACTGTACACAGACCCGTTCCTGAAATCTAGAAAACCTGCTTCGGAGGAATATTGGAAGTGAGATATCCTTTTTGACATTATACATGTACTTCTTTCCATCTTTCCAAAAATTTCTTTACATGTTGGGTTTTTAAATTTTTTTTTACAAATTCATTTTTCAATTTCTGTGTCAAGGATTGAATGGTTGAAATGAATCCCCTCCACAACTGTTACTGGCTTGATTCCTTTTAAATTTCTTAACGGTTTTCATGAGCTTGTCTTAACAGGCCTTGCATAATGTAAAGCATGCAAGTACATGTGCGACTACCAATTAAAGTAGCAGGCATGATACCATACAACTGGCACAAAGAGCCTGCAGCACATGGAATTATGTGCACTTATTATTACTTATGAGTTAAGTTCTCTGTTCAGCAAGTCCAGGAATAAACTGGGTCATTTTTGTGGATTGAGCCCTTCGTAAAGGCATCCATCTCAGATCAGCCAGCCTCCATGCAGAGTGTATTCCTTATTTAATTATAATAATTTGCAAAATTCATTAAGACTATTTTCCATTGGTATTCTAAGTTTAAGCAAAAGAAACACCTGGAAAGCTCCAGATGAAAAGAAATGGGAAGTTTAAACCTAAGTAACCAAAAATATTGATCTGGCTTGACTTAAAACTTTTAAAGAGAAATTTTAATCCATTGTTTGTTTGGTAAAGGCCTTTGTAATTCTTTTTTTAATGTTGTAAGTCTTAATTATAGCCAGAACATCAATATGTCATTTCTTATGTGACTTTGTCGTCTTTCTTTGTAAACTTGTGTATTTGCAGTATGGTTTTTCTTTCTTTCAGGTTGCAAGTGTTGAAAGAGGCTGATTCCATTGGTGAACCTGGTGAGATTCAGTGGCAGCTGGCTCTCTGTCTCCTCCTAGCTTGGATCATCATCTTCCTGTGCCTCTTCAAGGGTGTTAAGTCATCTGGCAAGGTAGGCCTATGTAATTGTGGCCTCTATGCAAGCAGAAGGAACTTGGGTTTGTGACAGACAGCAGTTAGAAAAAGCTTACATTAATGCATTGCAGTGCAACCAAAATTGTTTTAAATTGTTATGTTTTTTATGAGCTAGTTTAACACAACATGTAGAATATAAGATAGAGTCAATGTTGTTTTGTTGCAATTAGAAACAGGAGAAGGCAAATGGGCATTTTCTACATGTACATGTACCCGCTGACTTTTGAAACCCTTACCATATATAATCCTATAGGAATCATGAAGCCCTTTACCCCTCAATCACTCTGGGTTACTACACTGCATGCACTTTTCAAAAATGTTCTACCGCCACTTATTACAAAAATTTCATGTATTCACTTTTTACATGTAACATTTCATTGTTCATTGCTGTGAAGTGTACTCACAGTATTTGTTGCTACATACACATTCCACACTCAGGGGATATGCACAAAGCAGTATCTGGGTGGGCCTGATTTGCCTGATATGAAGTGCTTATAGGAGGATGAACTTTTATGAACATTCATACATAGTAATTAATATATTCCTTTTAGCCAGACAAGTCGTCTTTCTAGACCTGCTGATTTAAACTGTGAAATGATCATATACATATACTTAATTACATGTTCAGCCTCCCAGAATGAGGCATTACAGTACACTGTATATTAGGCTTATATTATGTCTGTATTAATCCTATGCAAAGACACATTCTTGACACAGTTGTCCTATCAGTCGAAACCAGTCAAATTTCCCATATGTGTCTGTGTACTGGGGGAAATCAAGTGGAAGGAATTTTTTACTGTTTTTTTATGGTTACAGCAAAAGGAGGGTTAATTTTCAGATGAATTTTTGTAGCTCATTCCTTCTCCCTTTGTAGGTGGTATATTTTACGGCAACATTTCCATATGTTGTACTGGTCATCTTGCTGGTACGTGGAGTGACGCTTGAAGGGTATTTTGATGGTGTGCTGTTTTTCATTACCCCAAGGTGGGAGACGCTGTCAAATCCACAGGTAAAACAACCAGTGTTCCTGGCATTGTACAAAACTAAAAACCTCTCATTGAGTACTACCTGTTTCTTTCACATGGGTTTTCTTCACATGAGCAGTGGTTCTGTAACTGATAAAGAAATTGAACACTTGTTTGAAAACTAAAATTCTTCCTTTCCCTTGACTGAGATATGTCACTGAAAGGTGCAAAAAGTAACCTGCTATTATGTGAGTTACGCTAGTATCAAAAATTCAGAATGCTTTTCTGTGAGGCATACAATAAAATACAAAGACTAAGCAATGGCAAACCAAAACTGAAAGTACAGAAGGATAACTGGGTAGGAACCAAAATGCTTGCAGAGTGGATTGACATGCATAGAACAGTTACAACTTAAACAACCAAATTGACCACTTGCTGCCGGATGCCTTTGAAAATGGTGTTTCTAAAACTGGGCGATTTTCAATATCTTCGGTTTAAAAAAATCTTCAAAATTTCAGAAATTTTTTCCTGATTGCCTAAACCCCATCGAGTGACTGTCTGTGATGGCTACTCTAATCTGACAGACAACATCTATTGATGCCAGAGTAGTTCAGCCACGCCTGTCGCCTTGTAAAAAGAGCCCAGTTTGTGTGGTGTTACATAAGTTTCTTTTATTCCCGAAACTGGCACAGTGGACTGCTGGCGTTTTTTCAAAATGAGCCAAATTGGTGTCCAGAAATATTGTATCGCTCATCACTGGAGTGCTGGAGTGCTTTTGTCCCCAGTGGTAATCTGCTCACCCTGAAATTTTCATTATGTTCATGAGTGTACAAAGGGTTCTCTCATCCAAGGAAAACAATTATTTCTGTGCTTGGTATTGTCATTTTCAACTTGGTGAAAAGTGTACCACAGTAATTCCCAGCGGTCTTCCCACTTACGAAAATAGCCAAAATGAAGTACTCAAAAGTATTTCTGTATCAATAGGTGTGGCTGGATGCCGCAGTTCAGATCTTCTACTCTTTGAGTGCAGCATGGGGTGGTCTTATCACACTCGCCTCCTACAACAAGTTCCACAATAATTGTTATTTGTGAGTATGTTTTTCCATAGACTGCTGCAGAATTACCTTTCTTTCAAATGTAGTTGCTGATGACTGTTTTTACTAATAACATTTTCACGAGTGTGTACATGGTGTAAGGATTGTAATGACAGAAGTAGAAAAACCTTTGCGTTTGCAGGCTGAGATTTTTTACTCTAGTGGATGTCAGGACAAGATTGTTATGTGATTTTACAAAATTTTGTAATGTTTTTCTAAAAGCTCATTTTTAATGTTCATTCACATTAAATGTATGCCATAACATGGAAAAATAATGACTTCTTTATCACATTTTGTCACACTTGAGGAAACATGTTTTCCATTTTGATTTCTAAAGAACTGCATATCTACTCAGACTGAGATGACTCACGCCGAGAAGACTATATCTGTTTGTGGTAGATGTGATGTCATACATGCATGGCATGTTTTGTAGGAAACAGGGGACTCACTCATGAAGTTCTTATGCTTATGGATGCTCCAACTGAACTCCTTGGGCCAGTGGTCAAGGTATTAAGATGTCTATGAGCAGTAGGCCATATGGGTACTGGTTCCACCAACCGTCCCCCTCATAGGCTCTTGGTGGTAAATAAACTTGCTTTGCAAGTGAAACCCTAACTTGAAGTGCTTTGTTTGAATTTCTGTGCAGTGATTCCGTCTTGGTTGCTACTCTAAACTGTGCCACGAGTATCTTTGCTGGCTTTGTCATCTTCTCTATCATGGGCTTCATGGCCAACGAGCTCAACAGAGAAGTTGGTGATGTAGTCGATGAAGGTGTGTGCCAAACATTTCTAGTACTCATTATCTTGGAATGCGGCACTTGAATTGTGGGGACGTAAAGGTAGCTGCTGCGTTGTTTTTCTCAATTTGCACCCAACATGGTCATAGCAATAACTGTTGGGCTGGTGTATTGAAGACTCTGCAGGAACACGAGTGATTTACTCCCAGGGAAAGTTGAGATTTCTTTGGCCGTGAACACATAGCATGAGTTAAAAAGGGATTTTGTCTGGAACCAAACTGATTGGGCACACATGCTACACATTTTTATGAGGAGAGGTACATGTTCATGTACCAGTGCTATGCAGCAGTAAAACCTACACACAAAATGTTGTGTCACCTAAAAGATTTTTTAATGCATTTTACTCACATTGTTCCCAGTGTTATTCTAATTACATCGTCTTTTTCTCCAATGCCACAGCTCTGTGTTTTGTGTGTACATCTGTAATTATTCCATAGTTGTGGGGTCATGCAAAAATGTTACAGGGGCACATTTTCCCCACCACTCTGTTCAAACTTTTCGAATAAAAGATTTTAATCATTTTGGTTTCATGTTTATACTTAACAGGTTTTGGCTTGGCCTTCATAGCTTATCCTGAGGCAGTAGCTCGTCTACCTGTCTCCCCTCTCTGGGCCATCCTCTTTTTTGTCATGTTGCTGACTCTGGGCCTGGACAGTCAGGTAAGACTAGGACTGTTGCAATAGCATTATGACAGGGATATTTTATTTTATTTCAGGATTTGACTTTCACTGAGAACTATCTGCAATGATGCATGAACTTTTTTGGTGTTGGAAACATTCATGAGGCAGGCTGCCACACGTTTGAACAAGCAGGAGCTAGGAACAGATGCTGATCATAAATCACCGCTATGTCAAACATTTTGTGTGGATCCTGTTTTGTTCATTGCAGGAATGCTGTTCTGTAATATCATCTGCAAGTGGTTCACAGTAAAAATATTTTCATTTAAATCCTGAAAAAATTCCAAACTTGCCAACACGAATTCTTACTTGTCTTGTTTGAACCTTTCTATGTTAGTTTACTATCATGGAGACAGTGGTGACAGCAATTGTAGATGAACTTCCCCAACTCCGCAAGAAGAAGACATTCGTCATGCTAGCGGCTTGTGGCTTAGGCTACTTGTTGGGATTCACATGCATCACAAGGGTATGTGTACCAATTCAGGTTGAGATTGATAGTTCTCTTTTAAGTGTCGTGAAAAAAATTTACAAAACGGTATCATCTCAGCAGCTTGGACCCCTCCTCCAGAAATAGAACCTAAATGGGATAAAAATGGGATAAAAAGGGGAAAAGGAAAAGTAAAGAAACAAATTCATTATTTTAAATGTGAGTTTATAAATACTGCAAAATCATGATAGCTCAAAGTCATGTATTGAGTGTTCGTGAAACCCATTTAGAGAGTCATCTTACATTGCTTGCTTCCATTCATATACCATTAGGCAGTCAAAGTTTGCAAAATTATCATCCTTGCTTGGTGTCAAGTTTAACCTCAATGTGTACATTTGCTAATTACTTTTATCCCTAACAGTCCTGAGTCCTCCAACAGGTGAAGAATTGAGGACTGTTAGGGTGTAAGAGAGTCACAGTTTCGTAGTATTTAATGGTAGTACCGCGTGTTCATAATGAGGTAATGTAATAGCAGAATGCCATTTGTACACACTTAATGGATTAGTCTGGTGCTTTTTGTACTTGTGGCCAGCCATATAGTTTTACCAGCCTGTGTATAGGCAAATGGACAGTCATAAAAAGTCTAACTTAAAAAAGCCTGTGAAACTTTTTCATAAGTCATTACAGCCCAACTCACATCATGGTTTAGACTCTGCCATCATCTTTTGACTCAGTCACGTCAATTGGATCAGTCATATACAACATATTTTGGCTCATAATTCGGCCCAATCACCCAACCCATAGCCAATAATCCAATATGGGACTGTCTTGGTGGCCCGCAGGTCTGGGTTCATACATCCCTTGCCTTTGGCTCAGGCCATTACCAGTGATGACCAAACCTGGCCAAACTGGATTTTAATCACATACCTGAAAGTGCTCTAACACACTGTTCCTATAACTGAAGGTGAATTTAAATCATATTGATTCACAAAGAGTGAAAACATGGTCAGGTAAGGAGATATACATGGTATCTACTGTGAACAGCAACATTTGCTGTCAGATGATGTGCTAATGCCTCTCCCTGACAGTTTGAATTTCTCATATGCAGAAACTCTCTTAATTTTAGGAAAAATACCTTGCTGTACTATTTTTGCTTTTGATTTCATCTACATAGTCCTCTCACTGCAAGCATTCTTTGTACCAATCCAGACCAATCGGTGGTTATTGAGATAAGCCCAGGTCTGTGTGGTTTCAGGTAATGTCTTTCAGAGAATGCAACATTTAACACATGGTTCAGTTGCAGAGTTGCACTGATTGAGGCATTGTGGCCACATTAACGTTCCTTGTTCTGACTCTCTCAGGCTGGGCCTTACTGGGTAGAATTGATGGATAGCTACGGTGCCAGTTTTTCCTTGCTTATCTATGGTCTTTGTGAGTGCATTGCCATCAGCTGGCTGTATGGCATCAAACGCTTCAAGAATGACATCCGCACCATGATTGGTGATAGCTGGGTGGACTTCCCAACCTTCGTCTGGTGGCCTCTCAACTGGTGTGCTATCACACCAGCTCTGCTCAGTGTAAGTCCAACTGTGCCTTGTATCTGTAGAGTATATAAGACTGTACCTATTTGTGCCAGCATAAACTTGACCACTTTCCATTGAAGAATGTGCAAACACTATCTGCCACTACATATACAAAACCATGCTGTTGGGTATAACCTCCAGGCATGCCTTGATTCACTAGCTCCGTCTAACGTTTTACGTGTTAATTTCCCATTTGTTTTGTTCACACACAAAGTCCAAGACATCAGTGAAGGCAGACCTGCACTGAACTTGAACTCGGCTGCTGTGCATGCCCTATGAGTATGAGGTTGTGGTTAAAGGCATTATGCATTCATTCAAGTGACTTAGCTCGTCAGTATTTATGACGCTTGGTTGCAGTATATGCAAGTTGGCAAGTGGACCTTTTCACCAAGAAAACTTTGCAGTTTGCCATAAGTTGGTTCATTCGACCTGTCTGTTTGTTTTTACCCGTCAGTTTGTATTGATGTTCAACTGGATGAATTGGTCCGAGCCATCATACAATGGACCCTACCCGGCCTGGGCTCATGCCATTGGCTGGATGATGATTCTCAGCTCACTGATCTGGATCCCCATCATTATCAACTATGAATTCATTCGAACGCCTGGATCATTATCTGAGGTATGTGCAGGCGTGCTACTCTGGGTCAAAGAGTGAGAGAGATTTGATGATTGCACAAAAGCTGGTTCCTCAATGTCGCTGACTTGAGTGGGGGGAAGGGTTGAAAGGGGAGGGAATTCTTCCATCCAAAATGGACCTTTTCTTGTCTCGTACAAATAAATGCAGTCTTGCAGCCCGTGAAATAATGTACACACATTATGGGTGGAATCATGACCCACACACTTGTGAAATTATTTGTAGTTTGCCTAATGGCCTGAATATCACCAGACAAAAACATAGAAATAAGGGAAAATCAAATAAATGTAAAATGATAAAATGTGCTGATCAGAAGTTTATAAGTATATGTAGTGAGCACTTTGTGTGGTGTCATTTTATCAGTAAGTTTGTCCCTTAATTAGCATGGCAATGCAAAAAGTCTGTGTGTGACATTAATGATCTTGTATAAAATTCTGTTTTTTATTTCAATATCAAGCAAATTATGAATATAAGTTTATTGTGATGTTCAATATTGTTATGATTTGATTTTCTTTATTTTTAACTATGTTCATTCATTCTGGATTACATTGCCTAAACCCGGGATTGACCTTTATGAAAATAACGTGCATGTTATTGATTCCATGTGTGAACAATTTACTAGAGACAATTCCCCTTGTTTCAACACACTGTCATGTGTATGTGTGTGTGCAATGGACATGGAGTGTGCACCAGTAATTTCATAATTTGTGGCATTTAATGCGGCCACTCAGTTCCTGTAAACTCAGTGGTGGATTGGTTAAGACATTTGCACTAGTAAGCAGAAAATCATGGGCTTGAATCCCACCTGATCAAGCTTGTTCTTGTTTTGCAACTCTTGGATCACTCTAAGTATGCAGTGTGAAAATTTACACTGATCAAAGTCTAGCATGAAAATCTACAAAATTCACCTACCTTGGAAATGGGACTGCTGAAGCTTTTTAAAATTAAAAATACTAGCAAGCAGAAGCAGGGATTTCGTTGTCCTGATTTTAGGGCCATGCTCAGTGGTGTTTAAATGATGGTTTGTATGACCCATACAACAGGCTTTTGGCCAGTCAGAATGCTCCAACTGTTGAGCTACAAATGTATGAATGATTTTTGATTAGCATTCAGTCTGTCTAACCTTACTGCAGCACATACCTGTACATGCATGTGTTCTTTCAAGTGCACTTCATACATTCTGATTATTTTAACCTCTCAACCTCCCATCCTTTTGTCCCATACAAAAGCGCTGGCAGGCTATGTCTAATCCACGGGAAGTCTGGGGCCCAGCACTCGGCAAGTTCCGTTTGGAGGCCAGCCAAGTCCACAAAGAGCATGGCACAACCTTTGGTGGGCGACTTGCGAATCAGACGGCCGATCTCAACGGTCGGAAGAATGATCTAGGGGCTAAGATGCCAGCTGTCATTTTTACCCCTGGAATGGCCAATGAAGGATTTGACCCTCCATTGTAATAGGAGATCAGTGATTGCTGGTAGGTGTTAATTCCTACATGGATCTAGCCTGGGCTGAATTCTCAGTTGAACAAATCAATGATGAGATGATGCTTTCCAAAACGTGGACACAACTTTGGGATGAAATGTGGACAACAAATCCTCAGATTTAATCAGAGCTCCACTACATGATAAAATCACAAAACGTCAGATATCTTATCAGCATGGCTACATTTATATAAAAAAAGGATTAATTTGAATAATATTGTTCTTCAGATGTTTGGCAAAGAAAGTATTGTTCTTACAGTTGCACTATCATCAGAAATTCATCTTTTTGCCCAAATTTCTATTGTCACACTGCAATCGACTCATAATCGTATAGATCATTAATAATCCTTAAAAGAAATTGGCAGAGTTGGTAACATAGCAATCAGAATTTTTAGATTAAAGTCCAAAGGAAGTAAAGACGGTAATTCAAAGTTAAAGTCCTGACTGAATAAGCCTAGAATCTTGAAATGTGTCTTTCAAAGCCTTGTGTTTAATTCAATAAGCTAATTAAGTACACTTTCTTTCAATTGTTTAAACTACATACAGTTTGGGAGGAAATGGCTAGCTTTCCCAGCTCTAAACCAGTGTAGTGTTTTAGATGAGTACTCTTGGGAAAATAAGATCATGCACAGAAGTAGGTTCAATTAATGAGTATTTTGACATTTGGATACCCTTGAATGAGCACAATTTAACAAGTTCAAATAGGTTACGAGTATAAAAAAAACCTCTTCTGTAATGAATATGAATACCAAATCACTACCCGAAATGTAACCAGTCAGCAAAAACAAGATTTTTGAGGGGCATCCTTACTGGCATGAATATTTTCCATTTCCGTCACTGGGGGCAGCAGCATATCCAGCTTTTGGTGACAGCGGGTGCAAATTCAATGTTTAATATCACAACAGTCTTCAAACAGTCATTGAATCACCCCTGCTCTCTATTTTGAAAAAGTTTCTATCTTTTCTGTTGGAACTGGACAGAAAATCTCGCAGTTCTCTCATAGCCAAACAAGTTTTTCATTACCTTCAACAAAGTTGTACGTTTCTCATGTAAACCTCGTTAAGTTCAGCAATGGCGATGCTTAGCCATATATGATGAGCTAGTCAATTCATCTCTTTCCAGTTTGGTGCAACTCATGCCAAATGAAATGTAAGTCACGCCTTAATTTGTTGCATAAGTTGCAAAAAGACACAGTGCATAAGTTCAGTGAAATCACTCTTAATTATTTGCTCCGTGTACGCAATAAAATGTGGCATAAGTGATGTTACCCCATTGCATAAAGTTTTGTGAAATTGGCTGCAGGTGCCATAGCAGTGGGAAGGCAGCATTTATGTGCGCTGATTGTCCATTCATGTGTAGTGTACATAATATCGCTTAGCAAGGACTACGCTCAATGTACCTGGTACATTAGTTTCTTGAATTGTTCATGGGAAAACAGTTGAGGAGTACATTGACATATTTGAGTCAGTAAATCATTACATCTTGAAAAAATCAGTAAATCAAATAACTGATATCATACAACCAAAATTAGTGGGAGATATTGCATTGTTGCTTTCCATTCTGCATAGTTGCAGAATTCTGCATATTTGAAAATTGCAAATAAAACCTATCTGTAAATGTGCTACTATGGTAACATGACTGTCCGTACAAGTTGAAACATAAATCCCTACTCTGGCTTTGGAAGTATCTGGCTCAAGACAAGTTTCATCAAATAATGCGGGCAATTCAGTTGTAATTTTATTAAAACTTTTGTACAATCAATTCTAATTGTAGTTATAAATTTAAACATGAGAATTGTGTACAAACATCTGAGCACTATTTTGTCAACTTTAATGCTGACACTGACTCACAACTAAAATAATAGCGAAAAGTACAATTTTTTCTATTTTTGAAAACCACTGATTTGTTTCATAATGTACAATCATTGTCAATTATTTATGATTTATATTCTCAAAGTTCACTATCAATACTTTCTTATTAAGTATATTTTTATTAAACTATTTTATGACTGGATATGATAAAGTATTCACTTTATCTTTTAAACATAAAATGCCTTTTGGACATATTTTATATAAGCTGGGTTGGAAAACACAACGAATGTCTGTATATTTAGAAAGCATTTTTACCACATTTACATTCCCAATTTAAGGGTTTCTTACAAGAGAATTTAGGGTTTTGTGTGTATATTTGGGATCATGTTTTATCAGCAATTTTTTCTATGTGCTTGATGCAGCAGGTGTACTGATGAATTATAATGCATTTGTATAATAGTAAACAAAAATGGTAACTGCACAAGTCATTTATGAAAGTAATTGTGGGTATTTATAATGACGTAGGAGAACATTTCATTTTTTTAAATTGTTGTCTAATTGTCACCACTTCGTTTAATGTCCTAATTATGTAGCTTAGTAGTCATGCCTGTTACACAGATTGATTAAGTATGTCAGTGATTTGCGTATCAATCAATTTCTGCATTTTGATTATCTTTATACATACACTTAGATAGATATTTTGTAATCTGTTTTTAGGACTGCTATGTGATCTGAAGCCTGGGACAAATTGTGAATTAATTTATGTTTTACGTATATCGATGAAAGGAATAATTATGCAAAAGATAAGCATAAATCAGGAAGTTTTCTGCAGTTGCATTTTTTGTTAAATGATTTTCAAAATAATAATGAATATTTATAAAGTGCGCTTCCAACATTGCTGATGCTCCAGGCTCTGTCATTATTATCCCTTGCTTGTCTGGCTCCTAAACTTTCCTAAAACCATCTCAGTCCTTTGGGGAGGATTACGTGCCATTTCAACCATAAAAGGCTAATGAAACAACAATCTCTGCTCTCACTGATACATGTACATACATTGTGCTGTACCCATTTATAGGCCCATTTGAGAGAAGCAAATGGGAGTAAATATGGGCGATTCACAATAGTGCGCCTCCATGAGTTTGCAACGCGTTGGCCAATCACAATGCGCGAAATTTGTCGACGGTTTCCAAATGCGCATTGGGGGTCAAATTTCGTGCACTGTGATTGGCCAACGTGTTGCAAACTCTCAGAGGTGCACTTTTATGAAACCCCCATATTGACTTGCCCAAGGTCACAATGCAAAATCACTTGCTGGATTCGAACCCCTTGCCCTGTTCCCAGGAGTTACGATCCTAACCACTGGGCCATGCACCTTCGTTTTAAGCAGATAGGTGGGAGTTAATAACCCCTGGATTAATTACCTGCACCTCGAGGTGATCACTGTGCTAAAGTAGTTGCTTTGCAGTATGCATTTAGGTACATGTAAGTTTCCTTTACCCAATTCACGCTGATTGATCAAGTAGGCATCTTGGATACGTAAGGGAATGAGGACGAGAATATGAATTCATTCACGGCTGTCAGGGTTAGATTACCCTACTTGTAAAATTAATCCGTTGTCCAAAGAAAAATTTGTTCTTTTCAAAGTACAGATTAAGTGAGTATACTGCTAATGACTAGACAGCATGGATTCCATTGGGCACACATTTTGAAACCCTCGGGATGAACTGTGGATACCTCGGTAAGTTCAAAACAAGGCATTCTTTCTGCCCCTTTTTCGCAGTCAGATTCTTTAAAATGGGAAGGGGCTGGGCAAAACACAAACAAATGTAACTAACAAAAAATGCAAAGGATTTTCAAAATGTCTTTTTCTGCTACCGGTACACACTTACCATGATGATCAAAGCGCTCATTTGAGGGGAAAAGGGCTTCTTTTTTATGCGGGGCCTCGTTTTTAACAAATGAAAGATCTGCAGCTTCGGTGCAGTTTTTCCTTCTGGTGTATGTGAACACCAGCTGGCAGAATGCTTATTAAATCAGACCTATTCACTTTGAGGGTGTTTCGCCACTCTTCCTGAAAAGTTGTACACCTGCACCTGAGAAAGAGTCTTATATTTTAACACAAATTTTGATATGTTTTATTTTAAGAATAGCAACCTGTCATTCATATGAATGGTGGTGGGATGTCATTACTTGTAGGTATTGGCTAGTCTGTGGAAGTGTGAGGAAAATGTGATTCCATACATGAGGCCAAAAATGAGTCTTGAATGAAGTTGGCATAACAGAAGTTGATACTACCATGTATCTCTTAGCTTATGTAAGATTACTGAATTTGACACCTTTAACATATAATTGAATGTTGCACACAAAGGCCACTGACATTTTGTGTTTTTACCCCATCCCTTGAGTACTTGTAGTTTGAAGCATACTGGATTTGTTGTACAAAACATATCCCAACTTCGGATCGTAAGGACAAGACAGTACTCTTCCTTATCATTGGCCAGTGAATTTTTTTATGTAAAGAGCTGAATGCAATCGGGAAAATTGTGTCTTGATTTATCAGTTAGGCAGACAGAGCTTTATTCAAAAAGAGATTGGCAAGAGGACTAAATTGTAATTTTTCCCTTATGCCTCAAATTGTAAAATGAGTGTCCCCCATAAAAGTTGCTTATACATACCTTATTCAACAAACAAAACGATGAATTTTAATTTGTTTCTTCTCATTTTACTTTTTAGCTGTTGGGAATTGCCATAAAATGTGCATCGTTTTCTCACTACTAAACGTTGTTTGGGAGCATGAAGGTTCCTTGGTGGAAGCAAGGGTGTTCGTACATACAATCATCGAGCACGGAACGGACCAATTGCGCCCGTAAAGTCACGTTATCTGATCAACTAACACCGCCCATATCAAAGTGCGTTTTTCAGTTTGGTTACTAAATTAAAAGCCGCTTTTTCATAGTTGTACAGCACATCAGTCGTCTAACTGGTTCATCCCCAGTCAGAAAGTAGTCTAGTGGGAGGTTAAATCAGTAGCCCGTCCAGTTCTTTTTTGAGGGAGGCAGTGGACATTTTCTTCTAAACTTGGTCAAGTTTTTCATCCTTAAAAGTAGCCTTATCCCCCTCCCAAAAAAAAAGGGTGATGCATGTCCTAAACTTGTGGTACATGTACTTTTCCAAAATAATAGCATTTGCAATTCCTTGAAAAAAGGAATTAACAGCTGGATAAGCCACTGAAGAATGCCCCTCCTGGATCTACACCAACGATGCAATTTCACTCTGGCCATTCCGTTGTGAACGTATGCACAATGCCGTTACTGGGGTACATTTTGCAGACGGAGGGAGCACGCATTGGCCCCGGTCACCGACCAACAGCATGGAAAAGGAGAGGGGGGCGCATCCCCCATGCCCTAAATTATTCCTACTTAGGGGCGTCACCGCATAGGAGTTACCGTGAAGAGAAAACTTCCTGGAGGAAAGAGTCAAGTGTAATTTCTTCCAAATTTCAACTGTTCACTCGTTCATCACCAAATTTAAGAAATTAATATCAAGAGAAGCTTATTTTAACAAAAAACTGTTGTACTCTAGACTTTCAGAACATGCAAAGATTTTCACATGTTCCTTGTTAGGTTTAATAATATTACCTGTCCTTTTCCAACAAAATTTGATAGACGGGCACTAATTAGGCACCCCAACTACGCTTCTTGCGGTTGGGTGAATTTGGTTTACTTGAAATGCTACACAGATGAGTGATCGTTTCTTTAAATGCATACATATTAATGGCGGAGGGGACATTGGGAACATGCAGGGGTACACGTCTGTACCTTCCCCTTGCTTCATAACTTTCCTTAAAACTCCCGCCGAAGCATCTCATATACCATGTTCCGTGTACAATGTACATTTTGTAAGTAAACGTACTGCTGGCCATGTCGAAATTCTGGGAATTGTTATCGTTGGTTGTGTGCCACATAAGTTTGATCAGTGTCACACTGCTAGTTCATTGTAAGCACGCTCAGTAGATGACGAATCCCAGCAAGAAACTGTCAACAATGAAGTGGAATTTGAATGATAAAAGATCGCGGAACTCTCTGGCTTCCAGTTTTTGTTGCGCATTCAAGTGGAACACATCGGGGCTTTTTTCACTGTGGAAAAATTTGGGCGTCGGCCATTTTTGAGCGACACTCATTCGCTTCCTCGCCTCGCATTTGACACAAGGAGGCTTTACTGGAGTCTTCACAAAATATTTTCGTAGTAGACAAACAAAATAACCATGGGGAAGCCTGAAGACGAAGTACAGGTAGGTATATACCTTAAAGTTGCCTTTAATTTTGTCTTAAACATGTTGTTAAACTGACTGGCCCAAACTGATAAAATGTCAGGTTAACTTTGTTCGGACAGGAACCAATAGGCCTAGCCATTTTTGTAACCAAAGCGTCTGCTTTTTTGTTTGTCACTTTGTTTTGTGAATTTCTTTTGTCACACAACTAAATTTCTGTAAACTACTGATACAAAGTCGTCTGTAGTTATCACAAAGTTACATTTTTAAGGGCCAGACCAATTACTTTTTATATAACCAGGACTGTTATCAAAGGAGTGGGAAAACAAAGAAAGACATAAGAGTTAAGAAATTAGGATTTTCTCTTCACAGGAGCAGTGCAGGAATTTGTTATTTCATTACAGTGTTCTTTATATCAATATTCAGCTGTATAGCTGTTTGTTTTTCTCTAGTTAAACACGAATTTTTTGTGAGGAAGGGTTTACAGTGTTCTTTGTCGGTAAGCTACCATAACCATGGATGAATCAAGTTGAATGGTTTGTGGAAAGTACACTCAGAAAGTCCTACAACTGTTTATTCTGCACAATGCAGAAAGAATAATTATGTATGTTTAGCCCAATCAGTTGATTTGTATGATTTTAGGAATGACTGTTTGCTGAAAAAAATGAGACTTGAATTAACAATTATTTAGACTGGAGCGGGATTTGAACCTTTGTTCATCTTTCTAATCATTTTTAGGCTAGTTGGTTTCCTTATACAGTTTGTTTCTTGATTTATGTTCAAAATGCAGTATCCTCTTTGATTGATCCCTGTACACCACTTCCTGGCATGGGTTGTATCGTGTAATTGGGGTGTGATCTCTGGTCATATGGTATTTCAGGTTTAATGGCTTCTGGCTAGTGCCCCCCGAACAGAGAAATTGACAAATGGGAAGAGCCACCAACATATGGCTGGATAGCTCAGTTGGTAGAGCACCAGTATGGCACCGGAGGTCGCAGGTTCACATCCCGCTCCAGTCAATTTCTTTGTTCATCTTTATGATAATTTATAAGCACCTGTCAGTTTCCCAATATAGTTTGTTTCAACATTTATTTTGTTAAACTTTCTTTAGATGTTTGCATTTCTGAATAATAATATCTAATATAATAATAATTAATAAAATTAAATAATATTTAAATAAAATTCTACACTTTTGTATAATTAAGTCAAAGTTTCAGGGAAAAGAGTTTTATACTTCGACATCACCTGCCACCCGGTGCACAAACCCTGTAAGACTGGCCTGAAAAATTGTTTTTCTAAGTAAATGCTCCCAAGTTTTCCTTGCTAAATTTTGCCTTTTTGTGACTTCTTGTTGCTTTCTGAAAGCTGAACTGTCACTGCACAGAAAATTTGTGAATTGTTCCCATCACATGTTGATTAGTTCATGCAAGCTGAAGTTATGCCATCTAAAATAAACAGTCCTAGAACTAGGCAAAAAGTACAAGTTTGTTATAATTCCCCCCCCCATGGGCAGGATAACATCAGTTGTTGACAACACTTATGTAATCATTTAGCACCAACTATCTCTTGTCACAACACCTGTACATGTACAGTTGACCATTCAGCCTTCCAACCTGGAAAGTTTTGGGAACCAAATAAGAAAACAGAAGTTCTTTGGTGTAGTTTGTATCATGTTAGTGTCATTTTCTTTTCAACAGTTTTTTTTTTACTTTATCTATTAGACTGATGGTGAATCTGAGAAAGTTAACAATTTATATTACTAATATTCGATAAGTCTCCTTGTACGGTCCCCTTACTTTGACTGAACAAGTGCTTCAGTGCAATAAACACAAAAATTGAACCAATCAGTACATGTATTAAAGCCCAGGCCTGAATCCTCCATTTTCCAATAATGTTTACTCTTGATAATGTATTTAGAATCATCACTATTTTGACAACAATCAATGAGTCATAATTTCAGGGAAATTTAAGACTTGTTTGATGGGAAATGTTTTTCTGATGAAAAAAATTTCCATCTTGTAGCCTGAAATTAATGATAGATGCTTTGAAGGCACCAACTTGAAGATTACAGTTGAGTTGGGATATACTTGTTAACACTATTGAATACATGTACTTTCATCTGCGTGTATCTCCACCATCCAGGTTTTGCAAAATTATGATCTCCATAAACATGCATTATTGCCTTCCCAAATCTGCATTATATAAAATCCATTTTCTGTCCCAATGTTGCTTGTACATACTTGTATGTAGCAGTGCCCCTGTCGAGCTTCTCCAGCCCCTCTGCATGCTACTGGGTGTTTGCAGTAAGGGATTTCAACGCTTAATGTCCCATTGTTAACATGTGACCCCTGGACCTGCTGCATAAATTACGCACCAGTTGTACAAATAATGTGTTTATTTTAACATTTAAGTATGGGGGAAAGAAGAAAAGTGGCTGTTGATGTGAGCATGATGTGGAGTAAAGTACAAGCAGTTTGTTTTTCTACTTTAATTTTCAAAAATGTACTGAGGATCTTCCCAAAACTTATCGGAATCAGTAATCAATCCTATTCATCACAGAAACTCACGAATAGTTCTTGTAGATTACATTCTACTCTGTTTGAATGGTTATCTTTTAGTGGGTACACGTGTTGCATGTTTTCAAGAAATTTCGGTTCATTCAAACACTATTTTCAAAATAGAGAACATGGAACTCTACTCACTTTGCATCAACTTTCACTGCGGAAAAAGAGTAGCTGTTGGGGTAACCTGTCTGCCCATTGTGCAAGAAAAAAACAAGAAAGGGGATTATATTATGAGCGGTGCTGTGGCCTTATTTTGTATGACCTTGTGGGAATAGAGACTCCTTCAAACATTGTTGGACAAGATACCATCTACTCTCAGTAAGGGAATAAAAGCATGGCTATTGTGGTAACCTGTCTTCCCATTGTACAAGGGAAAAGGTGCAGTAAGGGGATTGTGGAATTTCACATGGAAATCCTGCTCGCTGACCTGTTTTGTCATGAAGATACTAAAAGCACTAACCAAAGATGAATGATGTGTATGAACATGTATTTGCATAAGAAAACGCAGGGTGTCATACAATAGGTGTGCAGTATGTGCCTTTTATGTACTTCCCTGACCCATGGAATGGCATATGAATCTGGAGAATGAGATGGGCCTGTCCCTCTGTACATGTACATCATGGCTTACCAATGTCTAGTTAAAGTAACAGCAGGTAGTTAGCATTCGCTTTTGTTATAAACGACCCAACTCTGCTTATGCCTACAGGTACATATATGTAGACATGTAGTGCCGTTTCAAAGCATGTCCACATGACACACCATGCAAGAACAAGGTGTTATGTGGTTCTTTGCCGGCAGTTCAACCATCTTGCCACTGTGTGACCAGTCAATGGAGAATAATGTCATCTAAGAAGTAGAGGGAATTGAAACTCAGTAGTGCAGAAATCCCTCAAGAAACACAGAAAAAAATCAGAGCTTTGCCATGTAGAAAGATGGATAATCTACACAATGTTAATTGTTCAAGAAATCTATTAAATACCAAGGCAAAAATTAAATGCACACTAAAGGGAATCTTATCGGCAAGCCGGTACCCAGAAACACAGACTTTCTAATGACATTTTTTCTTTTTTTGACAGACACTGTATGAATGGCAACTTAACCGATTTGCCAAAAACAAATTCACAATAGAGATGCACATGTAACTCCCCAAGGAGAAATATGGTGATGTCTCTCAACTCATTATTTCAAATAATTCCTGTAAAACAGTAGCAAGTTGTTGGAGGTGTTAAGCCTCATTCGTATACAAAGCATGCTGTGAGTTGCATCAGCAATGCCAAAAGTAAATAACAGTATGAATAATGATAACAGTGCATTGCAATTGAAACTTAACCTTGGAGTGGGAAATTCTCTTCACACTTTCTCTTTCCAGGGAATTCATTTTTGTTTTACAAACTGGGAAAAACTTTTCCCACAGTGAGAAGATTTGTGTGCATTTTCAGTGGCAAAAGATTCTAATGCCTTTCATACAAATGGAAAAAAAATTCATGCCTTTTCTCAAGTGGAAATAGATTTTGACAACTTTCACACACGCCCGGCAAACACTTTCCAGTGCACACAAGAGGGAGATTATTTCTTTATGCCTGAAACATGAATTCTTTCACAACATTTCCCATTTACAGTGTTAACTTTCAATTGCAATGTACTATATAGCAGGCCTATCTAGTTATCTGCCAATTATTTGAGTTTTAATTGTTGATTGATTGTTAAGCATTACCATCAAGTATATGTTAAGGCTCAAGTTACTGTGAACTCAGGTGGTGTATGCATGTATGTAGCTGGTGGGAAAATTCTTATGAGCACTGAAGGAATTGAACTGAGCTTACCAGCCCTGTGTTAACAATCTTCTCATATCTGTGTACATTTTTGGTGTAGTGAATCATATATGCATATCTCTCTAATTCCTAAGCCATCAAAAGTCTCCCTTTAAACCATTTTATCCACCCAGCATTTATGAACAAAATGTTTGTGCCTGTTTGGGAAAACCTTACAACTCTTTGGCCATGCTGTGCTGTTCTTGTAGCAGTATATTTTTGTGTGTCAAAACTATAACATTTCATTCAAAATTCTTCATAGCTGAAACGTTAGATAGCTGAAACAGTCCACTTAAGATATTTTTAAAATAGTTAAATTATTGTACAAAAAATGCTAGGATCAACATGAATAACTTGGGAGTGGTTAGATGATTAAATAGGTATTATCATTCCAAATTGTTTTGCCCCGCATTTCATTAGGGAAATGTGGATCTGGTTGATAATGAAGACACCGGGGGAGATGAGAACCAGGAGAGAGGCAACTGGTCCAACAAGTTTGAGTTCATCCTGTCCTGTACAGGGTACGCTGTTGGCCTGGGTAATGTCTGGAGGTTCCCCTATCTGTGCTTCCGCAATGGTGGAGGTGAGTACGGTAGAACACATTTTGCCTGACAGGCACAGTACAGACAGGCACAGTACAGACAGAGACTTAGATTCCTACAGAAACTTGAAGTTAGAACTCGTTATTTCACGTTGACAGGGTTTTGAGATATCATGCCAAAATGAATATAGACTGGATATTAGATGTATTCCCCCATTTTGAACATGAAATTCTTCCAAAGCAAAACCAGAAGACATATGCGAGACTCGTTGAGATGCAATACAAAATTTGTTTCACATATAACGACAGGTTTAGAAAAAGTAACAAGGTGTTTGCAGTATTCTCAATTAACCACTAAGGCTAAGGAACATTTTCATCTGTACACTTGTATAAAAGTTTCGCCTATAATCAAAACCGTATACATGTATATTGAAAAATGTAACTTAGAGGCATGCTAGAATCTTTGCTTTCCATCGACTTGAATGGCAGAGAATTTTCCATATTTTGTCCATTGCAGGTGCTTTCCTGATCCCCTATGTCATCATGTTGGCCTTTGCTGGCCTGCCTCTGTTCTTCCTTGAGGTCAGCTTTGGCCAGTACTGCAGCCAAGGACCTATCACCTGTTGGAGAGCTGTTCCCATGTTCAGAGGTGAGTCTAGTCATAAAGGTGGTTTTTACATCCTTCAAATCAAGCACACATAGATGTCAAAAATGTATTTGATTGGGATGGTTACAATGATATACTTCACTATTTTGTCAACTTTCCACACTGTTGTCTTTACCCATTTCTGCAGAGATTATTGCACCACACTGCTTTTCAAAACATAGAGTAGAAGAAAGAAAGAATAAGGAAAGGAATTGTATAAAGATGCATGCCATTTGAAGTCAGGAGTTTGAATATTTTTCCCTAAGGAGGAAAATTATGTTTAAATTGGTTGGTTGGTTTTTTCTCTCTCTGAATGATCCACAAGGAAATTAAACTTTGCCTCAGGTTGCAAATTGTATAGTTCTTCAAGTATTTTCTGCATATTAATGCATATGATCTTCTGCCTGACACCATGAACATTGTCCCTCAAATACTTGCAAAATTTCCACTTGCCGTGAATTAATCCCTAAAGGCCTAAAGGCCAAGGGCTTGGTGAACTAATCCTGCAAGGAATTTTTAGTGATTTCATGCGGCCCCTAACTGCACCACTGGTAGAGAATTATGAGAATTTGGAGAATTCTGTTTCAGGCCTGGCTGATTTCTTCAGATGGAGCTTTCCGTGGATGCCTAGTTAGCTCCATCAAAAACAGTCACTTGAAAACAATTTAGCTTCACCTCTGGCGCTAAAGGCCCATATCTAGCCAGCCCCAATTTTAGCGGGCTGGTTCCACCTCCAGCTCAATGGAATTTCTTTTAAAACCTGTCCACCACTTTTTTGGGGGGGAGGGGGCATTTAACCCAACTGGCTATCAGTTCGCCATATTTTGTGGCATGATTTCTAATTATTAACCATCCAGTGAATTCACACTTTTGAATTGACTGTAATTATTGTATCATTTTTTGTTGGAGATGGAAGGCAGTCCTTGCAAACTTCACAAAAATACAAAGCGGTGTATGAATTCCCGACTGGTCCAACTCCAAAGAGAAATTAAGGGATTTCCTACGATTAACTGTTGGTCCATTCACTACAGAAACAAAGTGCATACAATGCAGTGCCACCTATTTGATGCCTATGTCATGTATTTTATAATGAACATTTAGTGACAGAGAAATCTAGCTTTCATCACCACAAAAACCCTACTGCACTCATTAATGGATTGAAGCTAGCTGAAAACTTGCTCTCTGTCTGAGCATATAGCCATAGTACATGTACATATGCCCGGCAACAGTTAGTGAAGTTACCGGATTTTTTTTATGGATGGCTAAAGAATGAACTTTCTAAGGGCTTCATGAAACCCTCCTTAGTGTTTTGAAAATGCCATGAAAATATTGGTTCACGGTAAATCAAAGGAAAAGTGGTACATTTATGACTTTCAAAGAATCAAGATGTTCACAGCATGGAGGAATAAAAATGTTTACAGCGTGTGCTCCTGCCTTGGCACCATGCCAAACTTTCCTGTGCATGAGCCAAATGGCTTCTCACTTGTTGGCCTGTATTCATTTTGAGGCCTGCAGAAATATACTTTGTTGTGTGTGCCCATTGCCTAGCAATACCTCCGAGCTTGAAAAGCATGTTTTCATCAAAACGTTGACATGAGTGTGTTATGTGCATAACACTTGCGACTGGTCTATCTGAATTAGGTCCCCCAGATAAGCACTCTATTGGCCTTTACATACCAGCTCCCTTTGGCAGAGTGCGCATGTGCTCGTATTTAAAGAATTCATCACACATGTAAATGCTAGGGAGTTAACCCATTTCTGTTGGTTGAGAGCCTATCACATAAGCAGGAGAGGATGATAAAAACTGCCATCGGGATTTAAACACATGTAACTTATTTCATAAGAAATGTCGGCACCAGTTTATGGACTTTAACCCTCTTTGCTCTTATGGGCAGTATTTCATTATGACAGGGTTCTTTATAACAGAGTCGACTCTAGGAAGATTTTGTAGTAGGGTGCGTGCAAGGCACACACATGTCCCAAAAACACAGTTGGAAGGGTTGCGTCCATGAGGTTAAATTCAATGCAATGAATTATTCATCGCATTGATAAAAATGTGAAGTGAGACTTTCAGGTCACAATTATAGCAAAATGTCAGGAAACATACGAATTATCAACTTAGATTTGACTTTTACATGTACTTAAAGGTATATTGATGAATCGGAAGAAAAGTTTGATAAAGCAGTTTCAAAAAGTGTTTATGATGGATTTTTCTTGAAGACGTTTTCATAAATCTTTATACTTCTTTGTATGAAACTACTTGACAGCCCTTTTGGGTCCTGTATGTTGGAAACTATCCATACTGTTTGGATAACTTAGGGTGCTCTTGCTGGGATGTCATACAGGGAACGTGTGCAGGGAAGGCACTGTGCAGGGAAGGCACTTTATTACATTTAGGTTGTCTCACACTGCAAACCAAGATTTGCTCATCGAACACATTCCTAAGAAAGGGTTACTCATTTGTTTATTGCCATGTACTTAGTCCACAATGAATCATCCAAGAAAAGGAAATTGGGGTCACGGAGATATGAAGAGGTTAATTGAAACAAAAGGTATTTTCAAGGAATACAAGAAAGAAATAACTTGCACAAATTAGACCATCCAAAGAAGAATGTTTCAAACCAGCCTGGGGCCTGGCGACAATAACGAAGCTCAGCTTCAGTTTAGTCTGTTATCATCCTCGGTTTTATTGAAATGTGGGCCGCATTGAATGGCCTGTACGTTATTTATAGGCCGATAGTATTTAAAACCATCTGCAATGAGGGTAACTCTTCCAGTGAAAGATGATCATTTGGGGCCCTTAAACTGTAAAAATACATCAAAACAAATATACAAATGCAGGATCTTGTATAACATAAGTGGGGAAAAACAGAAATAAGAATAATTTTAAAATGCCTCCTTTTGAGTATAATGAAATGCATATGTCTCAAAGTGAAATCTCCCAGGGCCATTTCTGGTGGACGAATCCATGGTACATTCACTTTTATTAGTTGGTGGCTAATGTCAAAGCATTTATAATTTTCCCTGTCGCTAGCCGTTATTACTTGCCGCTGGATACCATTTTCCTCCGTACGGTATCAAAGTGATCACTTTTTGCAACCACACGCGCACTGTCCACCCTGAAAGTTCACCTGTAATTTTCGGTTAAAGGCAGAGGGGTACATGGCAACCTGAAATTTAGGCTTTTAGTACAAAAATATGTGCCCTTGGTGTGACCCCCCCCCTTTGAAAAATCCCAGATCTACTCTTGTACAGCATGGTACCAGCTCCTGGTTGACCATTCTCTTTACACATGACTTGTTTCATTGATAGTCCCTGCTGCATAGACATATGTGGCCCTGAATTGCTTTTCTAATAAATACCTGTACCATGCTGGGGCTATAGAAAAGATGAAATGGTCTAGGTTGGCATTGTATTGTCAGTTTTATTCACTGAGTTCTGTATTATTCTTATGTGACTCACAGAGCGTAAAGGGCAATCTTAGCCTGCACAGTCACTGTAGTTCCTTTTTAAGGGCTTGGGTGTGTACATGTACCATTTTTGTGGCCGACTTTCCCTTTTTAGTCCTTTTTTGGTCTTAAAAGTGTGTTTTCAAACACCTCTCATGCCTTTGTTCCTACTCCTACATGTAAATACCTTATTTGCAAAAAGTCAAAGCAAAGTTGAATTTTATTTCTCCAATGATTTTGTTCAGAAGTTGAATTTTGTGTGTGTGTGAAATATCCCTCTAGCCCGTATAGATCTACATGTATGGTACACTTGCTTTATGTTCCTTTGTATTCAGTGTACAACCATATGTTGTTGCAAAATGGCACATCTTGGCTTATGCCTCAGAATAGGCTATAAGTGGGAATGAGACTTAATTAAACAAGGTTGAATTTTCTAACCACATCAGTCTTGATCCATCGTAGCTATTTTCAATAAGGGAAGCATTCTCATATTGCCTCCCTCGTGTATGAAAAAGCTACCCTTTTCCCATGATTAGGCCCCCCCAATAGTTTCTCTCTGGTCAGACTGATGTTCAGGAATTGAAGAGGTGAGGTAGCTTTGTTTTCCTGTCCAGGTCATGGGACTAGACCAGCTTTATTATGATTGTTAGCTGACAACAATCAACTTCATATCCGTAGTCTGCTATCATTGGTGAACATTGATCTCGTTGGGATTTATCACCCTGAGTAAAAAATCAAGCTGCCCAGAAAAAGTTGAGAGAGTGCGGCAGTAGAGGGTGCTGTTGCAGCTTTTGCAGTGATGAAAAAAAATTGACGTGCATGCTTGAAATCGATGTGCACGTTGACCAGAGATGAAAGACTTTTTGTTTTGGCCGTAGTATAAAAGAGGGAAGAATTTAAAATTTGCAATAAGTTAATTTATTTATTTGCCTTTTTGGCAGCTGCATGAGACATGTTTAACACTTCTTGAATTACTTGATCTTGCTTTTGCTTTGACAGTCCGCCATAATTTGTCGACAAAACTGAAACTTTGTCGGTAAAACTATGGCTGTGACACAGGAACGGAGAAGTCCATTGAAGTTTACTGTTCCAATTCTTAGACTGCTCTCATTTGGCCTGACTTTGCAGAAACTTTACTCTTTACTCTTCTGAATCCAGAAGGACCAACAGTGCCATTCACCCCCCCTCCCAAAAGAGCAGCCTTTTTTTGTAAATGAAAGATGATTTCTTGGGGGGAGGGGGAGATTACTTCATTTCCTTCTTTCACAAAGTGTGTAAAAAGCCCCCCACCCCCAAATATATCCTTGCTCCTCAGAAAAGCCAGAAAAGAAAGCATTGAGAATTCCACATTTTCCCCCCCCCCCCAAAAAAAAAGGACAGGGGTCCCCCAAAATAATTGGTTCTGGATCTTCTCATCAGTCTTGCCCGTGTTTGATGTCGGATTCTACCCCAGATGCATTTTTCCTCATCACTTTTAAAGAGAGGCTTATTTGTCTTGAGTATTTAGAAGTACATGTAGGATTCATATTTTAGTGTATCGATGCGAGCTTGTTACAGGACATTTTTAATCAATCAGGGAATTATTATTTTTTTCTTGTTGGGTACTGATTGACAGCCAGCCATGCCATAGTTTTGTAAGTCTTTGGTAAGCATACCAGTATGACTGTGACCTAGAACAAGCAGTATAGTATTGTCATAGTTGTTGTAGTGTATAATTTATAAAGATGTCACTTGTTTTCACAGGCGTTGGATATGGCATGCTGATTGTTTCAGCTTACGTAGGCATCTACTACAATGTGATCATCATGTACACCCTGTACTACATGTTTGCCTCCTTCACTGCCAAGTTGCCCTGGATTGGCTGCGGCAATACCTGGAATACAAACATGTGCTCTGACATCGTGAGTGACTGCCTGGCAGCTGGTGGGCTCGTTAGCAAGAACAACACGTATGCTATCCATTGAATTTGTGTGAAATCTTAATGTTGGAGATGTATGGGAAATGTGGTAATGTAGGATCTAGGTTATAATCAGCATCAAAGAGTGCCTGTTGTCTTTTTAATAGTGGCTTTATCTGTGCTGAGCATTAGAGCAGAAGTTGATGCATCTAAGGTGCATGACGAAGTATTAAAAAGAATGTAAAAAATGAAACTTGCCCTCTGTAATATCCTGCTGGAGTGTCATACAAACCCCTGAGAACCCCCCGTATATGCATGTATAAGCGTAATGTGTGCATGGGAGAATTACCAACATGGAATTTTATCATTTTTTTAAAAAGAAAGATTCCATGTTGTCTTTCTTTTCCTTTTTAGTTGCCTACGGATTGCTAACTTGACCGCAGATGAGTTGCAAATGTATAATATTACTATGGATAGTGCAGGCATGTTTGATCGGACGAACTATACTGACCCTTTCAAGGATGATCGCCAACGTCCAAGTGAGGAATACTGGAAGTAAGTAGTCAGGACTGAAGAAAGTTGGAAATGTATGGTAATTACATTATCAAAAGCACCCTGGTCTATAGGATTTTCACCCTGTAAACACTCTTACTGTCCCAGATGGAGTCTGTCCAAACCTTGCTATTGAAGTGGTATGGTATAATATAAACAGAACATTAGAATCCCTTTGGCTATCAACACATCCATGCTGACCATATAGGGTTTGATTGGGTTTTAAGATTAAGGCAGCTCCCTGGGGTGTTGGTATTTGAAAAGCCATCAGTTGTAAATTACATGTACATCATGTAAAGCTGGCATGCAATAAGCTTGTGGAATATGGAAGCCCATTTGCTAATATTTGAAGAGATTATGTGCAGAACTGAGCCATTAAAGACGAGTTTAGAAAACCTTTGGGAAAAGCCAGCCATCTCATAAATAATTTTTGCTGGAAAATATGAAGTCTTTTTGAATTGAAATTGTAAAGATTAGCCTGTTGCAAAAAGTCCCCATTTATCAGAAAGTGTGTGATTTTTATAGAGTGCAGCATTCTCAAATGCTGGGAAAAAACCTACACAGCTATATTTGCATCATTTTCCATCATTTTCTATTGTAAATATTTGGTAGACAAACGCAGCGTGCAAGACGCAAGACATTTTCTCAAATCATCGCAGTGCATTTCTTTACAAGCTGAACTTTGAGGAGTTTTCGCAGTAACATCTTGTCCTTTTTACACAACATCTTGTTCTTTTTACCTTTTTTTTTTAATTGGGCACACTAATCTTGCACGATGACACCCATTTTTCTGAGACAAGTCAGTCAAAAATATATACAGGTACTTTTCCGCTTGCTCAATACATGTGGGCCAACATACGTCAGGCCATGAACTTCAAATGACCTTAATGATAAAAACCTGATTTACTTAAATTGTGCATTTGTGCTGATGAGTTTTTACATGCATTGTAAGTTTCAAACAATTCAGGCTTGGTACAGCCGAGATGGGGGCGTCCAAAGAGCCCAGCTTTTTTTAAGGGGAACAAGAAGTTTGAAGTTGCTTCAGAACATAGGTGACTTTGCATGATAATTAGAGCAGATACACACTGAAGTCCCTCCAAAATAGAAATGGTACATCTTTTCACAGTTCAAAGAGGGTTACAGTTTTGAAGATTACATCAGATTAAGCTCATAAGACTGCAGGAGTGGGAATGACTGCAAAATTCTCCAATTAATACACCAGGGAACTGACCTATGACTAGTCCTCAATCTTCACATGCAGGTACATGTATTGCCCTTGCCATTTTTCCTTACCATGGGCTGCCCAGTCTAGTCATTAAAAACCCAGGTTGGGCTGTGTTCTTCAATTCTTTGCCCTCTTACAAACGCACATCGTTCTACATGTATGTTTCAATGGATTCCATGCACAGGTTCAGTGTTTTGCAAGAGGCACCTAGCATCGGGGAAACAGGCACTATTCTGTGGCAGTTGCTTCTGTGCCTCCTCCTGGCCTGGATTATCATCTATCTCTGCCTCATCAAGGGAATCAAGTCATCTGGAAAGGTAGCACATGATGAACTTCCTCAGATCCTGGCACCACTTGAGAGGTGCTGTCGGAAACACTGGGTTACTTTGATGCAGTGCATGACCGTCATCAGCAGGCATTTACAATTAGAACCTTCCAAATTGGTTTTCGTGTGCACCGTGAGGGAGCAAGGGTGTGATTTTTCTCCCCTCCCCCTGAAAAGAAAATTCAAAGTAAAAAAAAGTACACAAAAGGAAACGAGTGAAAGAAATGGGAGAAACAGTAGATGAAAGGGGACTTATCCAACTTGCTTGAAAAACCTCACAATTGATCCCCCTTTGCTTTGATGGTTTATCAGTTTGTCACTGATGAGTGCTTTGCCTTCCTCCCAGAAAAATTGCTTTGCTCCCCCCAGAAAAAAAATACTGTACATGTTTGGACTTGATTTATGTCCAGTGCAAAGAAAAGTCTATGATGTCATGGTTTTGAGTTGAGGGTTTGTGATATCGGGTTTACTTTGCATTTCTGTGAAGGACGTGCATGTATAAACTGCCTTTACGTAAGTCAGCGTAAAAAATACTGGTAAACTTTATGTGACGTTCATACACGGGACAGCAAAAGAAACTTGCCACTTCTGTCAAAGGCCACACATAAAAATTCACCCCATAGTAACCAAGTTGCTGTGCATGTCAATTTCTTCTTTGTAAAGATAATCACTTGCTTTTGGGCATGTGATTAGTAAGGGGTATTGCTGCGTACCAGTGTACAAAAATTGTATATTTCTATTGAGTGAATTTAAAAAGTCTGCATTCAGATATTGGACTCCTCAGTAGGAAGATGTGTTCAAGTTGCATTCCATGTAGGTAGTTTCCATCAGTGTTTCATTAGCAGGTAGAATCCACACAACAGTTTTATTTTCTCAGGAGAGTGCCATTAATTATTTTTATGGTGACTGCCTTACTCCATGTACTTGCAGGTGGTGTACTTCACTGCAACCTTCCCCTATGTTGTGCTTGTGATCCTTTTGGTTCGTGGAGTCACTCTGCCTGGCTACTTTGATGGTGTTCTCTTCTTCATCAGTCCCAAGTGGGAACGATTGGCTGAACCACAGGCAAGTCTCTCTCTGACCACTATTAAACAGGAGATCAGCTGATCCCTTTGGCATCGGAGCCTGTGTAGCAGTTTTCAGCATGAAGATCAGTGTCAAAAAGCAATAATGTTGGATCAATACTGACCCTGAATAAATCAAATGTGTTCTCTAGGTTGTTCCATGTTCTCAATCCTTGTCTCCTAAATAAATCTTTCTGCCGAGTCCTACACCATGAAACAACTTAATTGACTACCATTACCACTCTTCTTGATATCTACCCACTCCTTGTACAGCTGGCTGTTACTACAATGATAGTGGGTGACTTCAATCAATTAAAGTAAATTATGAGGAGTGTATAAAGATGGGGTTATACATGAAATGGCTTTGAAGTGAAGCTTGGTTCTGAAATTAGATCTCTAGTGGCCAGAATTCTGAGTACAATGTATAATGTTTCATATATGAAAGGCGAGAGTGTTTCAAACTTGAAATGGCTCAGTTGAGTTGCTGGATACAAAGGCTTGTTTACTCAACTCTGGTAGTTTAATGAAAACATCACAACCGCTTTACTACATGAGCTCATTGAATTAGGCCCGTTCCCTTCAAAGCCACCTTTTAGGCCTAAGCAAATACTCCACTGCATTGAATCAAGTATTTTAAATTGGAGGCTGGATGATGATGATTGTATGGTAATGGTTTGCATTGCTAGGTGTGGTTGGATGCAGCCACCCAAATCTTCTTCTCTCTCAGTGCTGCGTGGGGTGGTCTTATCACCTTGGCCTCCTACAACAAGTTCCATAACAACTGCTACACGTAAGCATATTCATCCTGTATTGGGCCAAAGAGTTTTATGCATAGGTACAAATTAAGACAACGTACATTTAGCTTTAAGTTACGAAGAAGCTGTGACTGTGTGTGAAAGAAGTAGATGTCTACTTGTCCTGCGGCAAAGACAACTTTATTATGAGACTAGAATAAAAACACAGTTCACAGCTCCTTCGTGTTTGCCCATCCTATTGCAAGAGACGAGCATTTTGCAATGGGATGTGTGTATGTCTAGTTGTTTGGGGATGAGAGCACATGTAGCCGTAAAAAAAATTTCATGAACTAATTACAAACACAAAGTCGACTTGAAATGCCAATCGACAATTTTTAAGTTAGAGGTGCTGAGTTTTAACTGATTGTGTCTGGTTTGATGAACAGGGACTCGGTTCTGGTGGCCACTCTGAACTGTGCCACTAGTCTCTTTGCAGGCTTCGTCATCTTCTCTATCATGGGCTTCATGGCTAATGAGCTGGGCACCACAGTCGATCAGGTTGTGGATCAAGGTAAACACAGCAAATATTGTCGGATAAAACTTGACTTCAGTGCAAGTTTCTGCCTCCGGAATGGAATCTTGTAAGGTTCATTCATCAGTGCTTGACTGAGTAGATCTTAGATAGCTGTGCATCCTCCATCAAACAACACGGCTAGGTATCAATTACTTTGTATTTCATTGCATGGTCATCTCATTTTGCCTTCTTCTGATCCTGTAGGTTTTGGCTTGGCCTTCATAGCTTATCCTGAGGCAGTAGCTCGTCTACCTGTCTCCCCTCTCTGGGCCATCCTCTTTTTTGTCATGTTGCTGACTCTGGGTCTGGACAGTCAGGTAAGACTAGGACTGTTGCAATAGCATTACATGTAAGGTTTTGTGCTTTGTATTTCTGCAATGGTTCTCAGTCTAGATTACGTTGGAAACTCACTCTGTGCTTTTGAATTTTATTTACGTTGAAACATCATTAATAAGGGCACTGTTAATACAACAGTTTGCAATAAACAAGGAATTTTGTTAGGACCCAATTATTTCTTTTTCATTGTTCTCATTCCTGATAAAGCAAGGTTCCTGTTATGGCAAGGTAATCTGCCGAGTCTGAAGGAACTTTTCTTAACAAGGTTCAACTGTACAAGCTGGTCCCTAGCATGTCCTGGCTTTTTATATCTCACCACATTAGCATCAGTTAATGAATAAAACAGTTGAGTAATTTTTTTCAAGTGTGGTTCAAGATTGGTAACACCAGTTTTGTCTAGACAGGCTTCATTGTTTCCTCAATACTGATTCTTCCATTTCTAATTAGTTCAGGGATAACAGCTGCATGTTAATACAGTGACTTAAACCCCTGTTCTTGAATAATTTGATGAATTTCTACTTCCATGTGACACATTTTTTAAGGCACCACTGTAATTTGAAAGAGCACGACATGCTGTAGTAAGATTTGAAAAGCCATCTTGCCAAAATATAGAGCGCATCTGTAATTGAAAAGTAAAAAGCCCCAAGGCCATATTCAAAACTGTTGTTTAATTTACTCATTCATGTTTCTGATCAGAAATTTTGTATTCCTCTTTTGAAAATGCAGTTTACCATTATGGAAACTGTGGTGACAGCTATTGTGGATGAGGTTCCAAGCCTTCGCAAGAAGAAGCCACTGGTCATGCTGGCAGCCTGCGGTGTCGGTTTCATCCTTGGCTTCACCTGCATCACCAATGTGAGTAATTACTTCCACTTAACAGTCTCTAAATATGAAAGAGTGAAACCAGGGACTGGATATTTTGGAGTGAAAATCACTCCAAATGGGTGAAAAAAGAACCTCTTCCATTAGAAACTCCTGTAAAATCTTGATCAGTTCAATTGATTAAAGTTTACTTGAATTCATCTTGTCCCTGAATTTCAATCGGAAGGAATGAATTTTTTTAATTGAATTGAGTCATTTTTCACCTTTAGGAATTAAGAAAGTAGTAATGCTCTGACACTCTTTGGAAAATGCTACCAGTATACATGTGAACAATGCTAGTGCATCATCTTCCATTGCCTGTATTGTACTAAAGCTTTGTGAAGACCTTTTTTTTTTACTCTTGTCACTATGAAAATTGTGTATGCTTTTGTAATCCAATCCAGGCTGGACCGTACTGGGTGTCTCTCATGGACAGCTATGGTGCCGGTTTTGCCCTGCTCATCTATGGTCTCTGCGAGTGTGTTGCCATCAGCTGGCTGTATGGCATCAAACGCTTCAAGAATGACATCCGCACCATGATTGGTGATGGCTGGGTGGACTTTCCACTCTTTATCTGGTGGCCTCTCAACTGGTGTTGCATCACCCCAGCTCTCCTCTCTGTGAGTGCTTCATTCCAAACATCAAAGGGAACAGAAACAAGGTTCAAGAATGAAATCAGAAATTGAAAATAGTTTCTGCACACAACTCTGACTTTGTCTCTTAACTGTTGAAACTAGGTCAATTATTTAGAAGCTAATAATACATATTGGCTGCTTACAATGGCAAACCATTCATGCCATCCTTCAGCCTGTAACTTTAGGCATAGAACTATTAATCCTGATCATTTTTCAAAGTGGCTTGGTCAGCTGTAGACCATTTTCACCTACATGACAAATACTGACGGAACAAGACACAATATCACTTCTCTGGCTTAATGTTTTCTTCTTTTTGCTAGACAATAAAAGTATCTATAGAAAGGGAATGATATTGAACTCCCAATGAACTTTCAGCCAGTGCCACGTGAATGGCCAATCATAGAGCAAGGACACAGAAAGAGTTGCAGCTCTGGCACTTCATTGTGTTCATTGATTGTCGCCGCCGAGCCAGACGAATAATAGGAAACCTTCCAAAAATGCTGCCTGCATCTTAGCCAGCCAAGTGGGGCCTATAATAATCTAGCAAGTTGTAGTGTTTTGCTTGCAATCAAATACAAATTATTGCTGTGACCAGGAAATATAGAGAAAAACAATCCCTGATATTAGACCCACTTTTGCCATTGTGAATAAACTTTTTTAATTTGGGCACACTATTCCATTGTCCATGCAGAGTTTATAATTTTATTCTCCTCCTTCCATTACATCAATTTTCAAAGACTTGATATGAATTTGGCTAAAACTGGCCAACAAAATGTTGACCACTATTGGAAAGCTGAGTTTGTGAGGAACAAAATGCACGATTGCATCAGAGGGGTGATTATGAAATCTAAAGTACGCTTTTGCACAAATGCCACAATAAAAATGATTTAAACAGAATTAATTTCTTGTAAACAACCAGGCTATTTATTCCCAAAATAACTCGGAAGAAATGGCTCATTAATGTGGTGTAAATGTCCATTAAATGAAGTGATGAATTGTTGAAGAATTTTGAAAACTGAAAATCTTGAAAATCTCCTGTATGTGTGCACTGCATTTTTAAAAGCACCAGGCAGCAAGTGGTTAATGGTCCAATGGACCAGTGAACTACATTATCTCTGGTAACCTGTTCATCTCGCCAAGTTCAGAGATTTTGCAGAATGGACTCTTATTTAAGTGTGTAGCTGGTCTATGACTGCAGAATCATTTGCAGTCTTTCTGTCTAATGAAACTTGGCCCAAGTTGTCTGGATTGTTATTATTATTGCTTGCACAGTTTGTGTTGATGTTCAACTGGATGAATTGGTCCGAGCCATCATACAATGGACCCTACCCCACCTGGGCTCAGGCCATTGGCTGGATGATGATTCTCAGCTCACTGATCTGGATCCCTGTTGTCTGGGTCTTTGAGTTCATCCGTACCCCAGGCAACCTTGCTCAGGTAAATTCCCGTCACTGACCTCGACCAAAATTCCTCATTCCCCAGGGGTCTTGAAAACTTAAAAACACTCATTAAGTGGCCCGTTTGCGGTTCTTTTAGTAGCATGCATAAAGGAACACCAGCTGCTTGCAAGTTATTAGCAAGTCTGATTGACAGGCAACCTGTTGTGGCTGGTCCAAAAACAAGTAAGTTCCCCATTCAAGGGGATTGCAGCCTATGCATGTGCACTTGAACCAGGGATGAAGCCAGACTCGCAAAGAGACAGTATGGACCAAGAAACACTGTCAAAGGCAAAGATGGAGATCTTTGACGTAGTGTGGTCAGATGCTGTCAAGGTTCACCCATGTTATACACATCAGAAGTTGTCACTTCAGGGCCTATTTCATGGTGCTGCTTACCGCAAGTGAAAAAACGGCGCCTACCACGTAGCAGAAATATCTCTGCTTACGGCGAATATATTTCATGGGTTAGTGAGGAATTTTGGCTAGTGCGCATGCGTACATCCCGTAACTAAGGACTCTGTGCTTAAAGGCTTAGCGCAGAATGGAGATCATAAGTGTGAAATTCTACGGTAAGCAGCGCCATAAAATTGGGCCCAGATTGTTTTTCCCAAATATACACTTTCCACAGGTCACAAAGGGGTCATCTAATACTCTCTACATGGCGAGTTAGCACTGATAGCCTAGTGAAATGTAACGTTGGTTCAGTTCAGTGTGGGAGGTTTTGCGACAGTAGCTTATTTTAATGCCTGTGTGACTTCTTGACCACAAACAAAATGTATCTCAGCTGCGGCTTAGTTGCTAACCGCCTTGAATTAGTCCTCCAACGCCACTGTGCTTTACCTTCTGTGCATTCATTGTATGTTATTGACAGCGTTGGGAGGCCATGTCCAATCCCCGTGAGAACTGGGGCCCAGCACTGGGTAAGTTCCGCCTGGAGGCTTACCAGACCCACAAGAGAGAGAAGACTACCTTCGGCGGTCGACTGAATCCCACCGGTTACATCTACGACTCCAGCCGCACGGCTGAGATGGGCAAAGTCCCAAATGTCTACTACACTCCTGGAATTGCCAACAGTGGCTTCGATAACCCGATGTAAGCAAAAGTCAAGACAAGGAAGCCATGTACCCGATTGATACTTGTATTAAGTATTGGATCTTGCAAGGGCGCGTATTCCCCGGCAGATATGATTTTTGTAATAACAAAGGGGTTGGAGAGAGAAAACTTACAGTGAACTAAATTTCCTAGCATTTAAAAGTGTGCCTCTTTGTTAGATGATGTTTATAAGGCTGAGTTATATGATAGTATGGTCATAATGGATCGACCCTCAAATACCCACACTCCAATAAATTCAATGGAGATTCATTTCACTTGAGATCACGCCAATAATTGCAATGATATTGTCACACTTCGTGAAAGATATAGTTTGGGATGACCGTGATAAATGCTGATCTCTTTGGATAGTAAAACGTTAATTACAAAGACTTGAGGCTGAGTTGTGATAAATCACTTTGGATACCGACTATACGTATAATAAATCACTTAGGTTTTTGTATTGCAGAGGTCTGGATTACAACATGTGCAATGACTTCCATGTGCATGTAGCTAGTGGGGAATCTATTAGAACACTGCAAATGATATTTTACCAGTAAGAGTATGTACATACAGAAGGTGGTGATGGTTAAATTTGCCATTTCTAAACATTTTGGACCAGATGGCTGCGGCAAGCATGACAATTATGAGCTCACTTTTGAACAGGACAGTGGAACCTAGTCATAGATTACTTTCTCTGCTTCATCAGTTTTAATTTAACAGTAGACAAAGTATGGAAATGTTATGTAGGATAGTGATTCAACAAAGCATTCTTAAAAATCTTTTTTCCTTAACCACTTCATGCCACGGTTCCTGGTACCGGAGACTTTAGGTTTATACGCATAGCTGGGGGCCCCGAAATCACACGAAGGAGCTTGTAACAAAAGACCATACTCCGAACAATAGACCAAGCTGCTGTGAATTACCAACTTTTTTCAGTTGTCAACAGCGGAAGTAATCTGTCGTTGTTTTAAAACAGTATACCACTATTTGTGGCATTCAGAGAAAGTGGATTATCACCAGGGACAAAGGTGTCCAGCGATGAGCGATACAGTGCCGCTGCATGCTAATCTCGCTGCATTTGAAAAGATGCCAGCAGCGCACCACACTGGGCCAATTTTGGGAACAAGGGAAATTACGCAACACTGTACAATCTGGGGTCTCTACAAGATGACAGGCCTGGCTGAAATACTCGGGTGTCATTACATGTTGCCTGTCAGATTAGAGTGGCCACCAGACCTGAAGTGAACAGTATTTCATGATAAAAAAAAACAAATTGAAATTAGGAGCTTGGGGACCAGACTATGGGGTATTTTACCTTTACAAAACATACAAAGTTTGTAACTAATTAAAATAGAAAATATGCACTACTTCATGCAAGTACACTAATTTCACCATTGTTGAACACAGGCGCACACTTCTGTAGTGAATGTAATGGGTTATAAATACCTTAGAGTATTTTTCTACATGAAGTGAAACTAATTTTTGCAATCTTAAATGTTACCATTAGCAAAATACAAGTATTGTGAATTTGTAGAAAACTTAGATTAACTTTACATGAAGTGATGTGTGTATATTTGGAAAGAATTTTAGCATGTAAAACAAGAAAAGCAAATTTGGTGTGTACTATACAATTGGATGAAAACGTAAGGACCGTTTTTGGTGTTTTCTTTTCGACTGTAATGTTTTTGTTTAATCAAGTCAATGTAATAAAGGGTAGTTTTTGGTGTATGAACATGTAATGTGCAACAGTTTCATATTTCTAGCCGTTAACGTGTCCTTCAGCACCTGATGAGGGTCATCATGGTAGGTGCAAGTGTTGGTCATTACAGCTTCAAAAGCCACCAAAACCCAAGGCTTTTGGGGATGTTTGCTGAACCTCACAGGGAATGCCACATTCAAGGTACATTACATACAGTAGAGTGATGAGAACAGCTTAGCTAATCCTTTGACTGATAAAATATATAACTCCATGCTTTGTTTGCATATGCTTTAATGTGAAGGTTGTTTTAGCCGAATTTGGAAACCTGATCATGGATCCTATTTAGGGGGTTGGAGTTGTAATTCTGAATACATGTACATGTATACGCAGGTGCAAACCTTTGACAATTTTCAAGCAGTTTGCTGTCTTAATGAGCAGAAGTCATTCACCAAGTGTGATTATTAAGACTTGTCAAGCCACTGTTGAAGACTGGCGTCAGAGAAACTTCCTTGTTCATATTGGATGGGGGGACTAAGCTTCAGGGTCAAGTTGGTCAATGTGGATGTATATGAAGTATACTAGATGTGAAATTGGAAAAATGAACAGTGAGTAACCAAGCATCTAGCACTTTGGCTTTTCATTTTAGAAAATACCAAACAAAAGTAAATGATTAAAGGCCCAAAAATGTCTGCGGGGGGGCGCAATAGTCCTCTGAAATTACATCCCTGATAATATACAAATTACATGTACGTTTTATGTCTGTTTAGGTCCGAGTGTGGCAAATAAGATAAACATCCTTGCACAAAACATTCTAGTTTCAAATTTCAAATACTCGACAGACTCGAAGCACACTGCAAATCATGCCTTCATAGACGGCAATGAAATGAAAGACTTGTTTCACTTTATTCCAAAACATCACTTGCTTTACACAAGTCTGGACTTCTTACATGCAAAGTTTTGAAAATCCTGGGATTTTCAGTATCAAAATGATGGATGGTAAAAACTGTTCTAATGTCTAAAGGAATAAGACATAGATGAAGAACTGGACTCTTGAGACCTTGAACTATTCAAAGTATGGTTTGTGACTTGGGTCCTAGTGCATATAATTTATTAAAATGAATGAGTCTGAAGTAGCCAGAGCCACTTTTTGAGTTTTCATTTGTACTAGAAAGAGCAAATTGAGTTTTTTGTTTTGATGTATCACTCAGTTTGGCATCCTGATGAAAGTGGATACTCCATGGTGACAAATGCTGTGCATTCCTATTGATTTACACTGCAACACCTTTTACTCCAAAGTAGCTCTGGCGACTTAAGACTCATTTTCGCAGAGTGGGTCACAAATACCTTTCATAAAACCCGCTGCGTAAATCACGTGCTGGCACCTGGATATGAGACAGTTTCAATAATCGATTGTAATACGGGCGTTTCAGAAAAGTGTGCCACCAAGAGTTTCCAACACGGTGGTCACTCGCAATGCGCGAAATCTGTCGACCCGATGCACGTTTGGAACGGGTTGACAGATTTTGCGCGTTGTGATTGGCCAATGCATTGCAAACTCTTGCTGGAATACTATTGTGAATCGTCTGTATTGGTCAAGAGTCTGTGTGCACGCGGCTTGCCATGTGCACACCAAGTCCATATTAGGAGATTTTTTGGGACAACTTGCACAAGGACTATACTTTACTATAAACTGACGGGTGTGCTCAGGAAAATGAAAGTAAAATTCCAGAACAAAACCGTTGGAAATCCATCATATCATATCCATCATATACCGACTTCTTTTGATTCTCTGACTACAAAAAGGCATTTATGATTGGGAATTACTTTGTGCTCAAGAGACTGAATGCTGATAATGCGCGAGCCGCTGGGTTCATCCATTCTCCTGAGCCGATCTTAAATGCACAAGACCGACCAAGCACATATGTATTCCCTTATTAAGGGGTCGTTCACAATTATCAACATTTTCACAAGCATACAAAATGTTTGCTGGGGGAGGGGTATAAGCCCGCCATACACTTTCAGAATTTCAAAAAATGTTGATTTGTTTCCCCAATTTCTGTGCCCCTGCAGACAGGTCTGATTTGGGTCTGCCATAGGCCTTACGCTGCGTGCACCAGCGTTGCATTCACCGCGTGCGTGGCCGGCGTATCGCGTCGAGATACTGCAAAGTCGAATCTGGCTTCACAGTATCTCGACGGTACCTACCTTTGTATAAACTATAATTGTGCAGAAAAAAGCAACATTTTCGTCGTACACTTTCAGGGGAGGTCTCAAAAAGGTGTAGGCTTTGTACACTTGTGAAAATGTTGATAATTGTGAATGGCCCCTAAAGGTAGTACATAAATCATATCATGCAAGAACAGACATTGTGAATGACTGAGCTAGTTGGGATAAAACAATTGTTTCCAGACTAACCATTCATTGAGATCCTAGCCAAGAACAGAGGACGGTCTGATTGACTTGTTCTTTCAACTTCCAATTAGTGATGCAACTATGACATTGGAGCTACACTTACATCAATTATCAATACAAATAAGAATGGCATTGAAATGAACTTGGAAAATGCACTGACAGAAAAGTTTCCAGTCATCACAGTCTTCACAAAACGTATTAAGTGTCAGCTGTAGACACGTTACCAAATTATCAGCTTCAGACCAACTCTAATTACATCCCATCAAACTATATGGTAATTGTATTTGGTAAACATACGGCAAAACTCCACATCTACCACACAGCAATGCTCTCTGAAATCCTATTAAATAACAATCTGGTGACAAACGACTTCTGACATCCCAAGAGCAAGACAAAGACAGAAAAAGCACCTCTCCAAACTCAAAGCAACCTCAAATCTTTCACTTAATAATCACTCGCATTCCTTCTGTACCACGCTTGGCTTTTCCCCTGAGAAAAAAAAAACAAAAACTGACGACTGACATATTTCCCAATATTCTCAGATCCAACAAAATGGCACCAAATATGATTGGGTCGCATCGATAAAAAGAAAATATGCACACCTGTTTGAAAATTGGCCCTAATCATACCCAGACAAACAAAACCCCAATGGGTTGGGTTGTGAACTATTAAAAATTTGAACATACTTCTCTTTTGGTATATGTTATCGAATATTCCCAACAGGCTACAAGGTTTTTTCAGTAATTTTTTTCAACAATTCAGGGAGAAAGCTACTGAGTTCTTTGCTTTGATGTATATGTACGTTTAGTATCCTGATGAAAGCAGACAGTATTGGTGAGGAATGGTGAGGCTTCCTGTTGATTTGCATTGTATAAGGTTCTTTTAAAGTGGCTCTGGTTGCTTGCGACTCACTTTGTTAGTTTGGGTCACATAAAAGTGCAGTCACACTACCTGTACATTGCTAGACCCCAGCCTAAATCAGGTGACTGCACTTACCTTCAGTGAGCTGCTGAGAACTGGCCTACGGGCTGGTGCTTTCCAGTGGCTTTCAACAAACATTCCCTCTGTACAAATGAAGATAAAAGAGATTCTGAGACCTGCTTGCAGCCAAAAATTCTATACAATTCAAACAATAAATCAAAGTTTACGGTAGACATCCCATTGCCCAAGGCCAAATCCTCAATCATCTGTCATTGGCCAATGGTGGATGGAAACCAACAGATCCGTGAAAACAGACAATAAACACATTCCACAAAAGGCATATATGGATCATGGCTACATGTATGCAGTAGATTGAATGTACAGTGTTTTGCAACTGACGCTTCTTCCAAGTCCAAAAGTCACACTGGATTGAAAAGCGGTGCAGACAAAATAAAGTCCTGCAAAGATACTGGGCAAGATGATCTGGGTGCATCCTTGGGCTTTATTATGCGCAAATGTCTGGGAACATGGCCAAAAAAAAAAACGAATTACCAAAATGTCCAAGTTGGTAAAAGGACTCCAGACTATATAATAGATTCCCATTCTTCCCATAGCCTGCACCAATATCCAACATTCCTCATTACCAACGAACCGGGGGAGGGGGGGTGATGTTATCAGAGGCCTACCTTTCTTGATACGTTCTCTAAGGTCTTCAGGCAGTCGATTCCAGCCTCCAGCTCGGACCACCAGATTGACATTGCTAACCATGTAATTGTAACACTGTGAGTATAACTTGTGCACCATAGCAACAGCATCCTGCTCAGAATGGGACAAGATTTGAAACAAGTACCAATGAATCCTTCAAGGAATTGTAAAAAAGTGAGCAAACTGATATTGAAGTGAAATATGACACAACTGATCTCCTGACAATTCCAGAGAACCTCTTGCATACCATACTAGTGCTGCAACTACATCAATCTTTGTTTTGGAAGCATGTTTTATTTCTCCCAATCTCCAGCAAAATCGTCCTCGACCAAATTGAAATTGAGGATGTCCTGAACCGCCAAATCCACATCAATAAATCTGCAAAGCATTAGCACAGGTAATTATGCTACACATGGTACTGGTGCACCAGTGTTTATTAACCACTTCGTGCCGGGGCATTTTTCAATGTTGATGATGCTGGGCCAGCATAATTATCATTTTTTCCGTTTTCAAAATCCTTCAAAAATTCATCATTTCATTTAACAGTCGTTTACAGCCGCACGAAGTAATCTTTAGGCACTACTGTAAGTTGGCAGGTGACCTTCATTGACGCCCGAGTATTTCAGCCAGGCCTGCTGCCTTGTAAACAGAGCCCAGATTGTGCGGTGTTACATAACTGTCTTTTGTTCACGAACCTGGCTCAGTGCGCTGCTGACCTCTTTTCAATAGGGGCCAGATTAGCTTGCAGCGGTGCTGTGTGGCTCTTCGCTCCGAGTTCGGAGACCCCGGCCAAGCATATACACCATACATCTCCGATTCCGGAGTCCCCGGCAGGAAGTGGTTAATCAAATCACTTGTACACCAGGCCAGTGGGGATAGTCTTACAATGCACATACATAGACACACCCAAAATAGCTCAGTCTTTTGGGGCACTATCGCTTACATGTTCTTACCTGGTTCCATTTTCCTTTATCAAAGTCGTCTGTTAGAGTTATCTGGAGGGAATGCAGAGCTAGGAATGTGAAGTTAGCTAAGTCTCTTGTCAGAGAGGAAATGACGCAGTCAAACACTGGTTCAACTATGTCCTTCTTCCAATTCATACCCTGTGCACAGAAGACAACCATGGGATTATTTCCTGTCTAGGAATTATTGTAATTTTGTGCGAGTGTCAACCCACATAGACACTATAATTCCTGTAAACAATTTTGTTCACAGAAACCTTTGCAATGAGAGAAATCTAAGACTACCCTGTTAAACAAATTCAATACTTCCATTGTAAAACACAAACAGATTGGGTAAGTTTGGTTTTACACTTGCAGTTTATTTGAAAATTGTAAATGAACCACAACTCCAGCACTAGGCACTGTTCTACAAGTGGTGGACACAAAACCCAGTATAAAGTCTCATTTGTACATCATCTGTTTATGCATCATGCCGTCGCACCAATGACCACCTAGCCTTGTGTTTAAAAGTTGGATGTCTGCACATTGTGTCTTCTGACATTTTATGCAGCAAAGATAGAAGAAAGTAACATTTTGAAAATGCTACTTCAGATCTAAAACTCAAAGGGGAACCGTGGAGAATCTTGTCGTTCACATATGGTTGGTATGGCTCTATTCTGCATTCTTGGTCTCACCCATTTAGCTTCCAACCTATGAACTCTTTAATGTTCCTGTCTATTGAGTACGCAATAAAGTAATTCCACACGGCAAGGCTGAGTGCAACATAACATATCCTGTCTCTATGGTCTCAGTGAATGAAACGATCCCCTTCTTTTACATAAATATACATGCATGTAAAACATTTACTGCTTGTTTTATTCAGAGCGTCAATAAATCTCTGCATCCCTATGGGTAATAACATTTCTTGTGACTATGGAAGAGAGCATTTTATATAATATCTGCATATATCCCTGTCATCTGATTGATTAGTCATTGATCACATGTCATTGATATTCATTCTATTCAATGGTACCTGTCGAATAGAACTTCGTTTCACTTGACTGGTTCCTGCCCCCATTTCATACATTTCATTCTTAGTAAGGAAGAAGAAAAATCCAACTTTTCTGCAAAACTATTTGCCCAATAAGCAGCTTCATGAAACTAGCTCCTAACCTCAAGCAGACTCAAGAAGGAGTCTTCCTCAACAATGCCCATAAAGTTCATGGCTATGAATTTAATACAGGCATCCTGCAGATGCAGGGCTGCGGAACGAATGACCTTGGTCCAACTGACGTGGGGTAGATTGCAGACCAGCTTGTCAATCTGGAGCAGCAGCCCAACAGCTGATTTCCGAGACTACAAGAACATCAAAGAAAGAAAGTTCAAATTCAAGCTGTGAAGATCTGTCTTTCTGTGTTCGTGAATATGAGGATGCCGATTTTTTTCATAAATCTAAATACAAAAATACTAGAGATTTTGAAATTCAGTGACTGCTAACTTATTTACCAAAGTTCTTCTAGTTCTTTACAAACATGTAGGTTACTGTGATAAGCAGATTCCATTTAACCTTCAGCTTAGTGTCTAAACCCTGTTGGATAGATTTTTCTCAATAGCACCCAATAAGAAAAGGTATACGGTTATCATGTTCTTACCCTAAGAGGTGCAGATATGTACAAATGAAGCTTTTCACCAAAACTGCTATACTAGATTCATATTGCAAGCCATGCCAGCTCTTTGGGGGCACATCTTGGCAAATGTAACCACCATGTGACATTAATAATCAACGACACCCCGAAAGATTTCAAGGGTAAGATCGTCTGACGGAAATCAAAGCAGAGCGTGCTTTCAAGAAACCATTGAAACTGTCCAGTAAAAACAGTCTGTTAACCCTGAATTCTGCTGATGGTCTAGTTACAAACGTGGACTACATGCCTCTCTGTATTAAAATCATTATGATGGGTGAACAAGTGCAGTTTAATACTATCACAATTGGTCCAGTAAGCCGAGAAAATCCAGCATTGGTTGTTGTTGATTCTTCAATTTTTTTTCAACTTAACCATGAATATTGTTTATCAAAGTTTTCACTGAAGGTAATTTTAGATTTTTTTGACAATTATACATATGTGCAACCTCTGGAATCAATGCAGAAGTTGAGTTTTGATGGGAGTGATTTAACTTACCAATGACCTGACGGCAAAATCTCTGCATCTGACGAGCAGGTCCTGAGGTAGGGTAGCAAAAGCCTTCTGACTCCAGGTCCGATCAAGAAATTGCACCTGCCAACTGGGACAAGATCAAGGGGGAAGCATGAGGTGTAGTGTAACTTTGTGCAAAACCAAAACCCCAACCGCAGCTGACCTAACCAAAAAGGCAGTTTAGGGTAGGGTTGGAATAGTTTTTCTACCATTTCAATCTGGTTTGGTTTGTACTTTTTGGGTTGGGTTGGTTGAAAAGCAAACGACATGCCCTCTCATCATTCATTTGAAGTTCGAAGCCAAAATGTTTGTTCCAGATGACTTTACACCGAAACCCCTCTAAACTGCAAAGACCATCTGTATAGTTTCCCACAAATGTAATTTAAAACCCCTTATAAAGACCTTTTAAAGATGAAAAGGAAATTGTATAGAATTGAAATGACTCTGAAGATTTGCATCTCTTCATTCCCGAGTTGTTTAAAATCATTCCAACTATACCTGCATATTTGCTAGGTCTCATACCTTTCAGTCACTGAAATGTTTGGCTGCATCAAAAATAAGTGTTTAAATAAGACCCGTTATAAATTAACATCTCCCCAACGCAAAATACATCTTGAAATAGTTTGCAGTACCCGCTGCTACACCCGACTCGGACCGGCCAGCCGACCACGGCAAGCTCGGTGGTCGAGTGGTTGAGACGACTGCACTAGTAAGCAGGAGGTCGTGGGTTCGAGTCCCACCCGAGTAAGCTTGTGAATTTTTTCGGAAGCTCTCGGACAAGCACTGAGCATACAGTGTTTATTAATACATATGTTGGGTAAGGGCAAAACCCGTTATAAATTAACATCTCCGCAACGCAAAATACATCTTGGAAAAAGAAGCAATGATATCTTGGTTCTGTTTCTTTTTGGACGTATTTTCCCACTATATGGCGGTGAAAATGGTACATTAAGAAAATAGCCTGGAGGGGCGTCACAAACGTTGAAAACCTCACCCGGCATGAAGTGGTTAAGAACATGGTAAGGTATGACATTCAATCCACATCATTCACCCACAGGACTGAATCCATGCTCTTTGAGATAAAAGATGTGAACACGGTCTACACAATTACCACATGAACAGCCACTGGAACACTGAAACCCACAGTGCTGAGTTTTCAGGTATTCACCTGAGTTTTTGGGTACCCACCTGAAGATATCATCAGTGAGATTGGAGAGGTCAATGTTGGAGATCAGCAGTAAGCATTCTGGGATATACTCTAAGCACATACTGCAAGGCTGGCGATAATAAAAGAGGTTGATGAGACAGATGGGGGAGAATGGGTGGGAATACTACTGCAGTGAAGTGAATCCATCATGTTACAATAAGGAGAATAGATCCCCCCCTCCATCCCTGGCAAACATGAGGACAAGATAGTAACCCACCCTTCTCCATTCCTTGGTTAAACAGAAAACTTCCTGAATTCTATCCATATTGTGCTTTTGCATGGTTTTGGCTGCTGCTTACTGAGAGTAAACAGCTTCAATTCAAAGGTTGACATCTTTACAAGCAATTTGGTCCTTGATGCATTACATTGGCAGTTAAATCTTCGTATTGCATGCATAAAGAACAAATTTAACTTCCGATTTCAATGTAGAACCGTATAATGTTCTTTGTCATATAAGAGCCTTTGATTTGAAAGAAAATCTTACTGGGGTCAAAATTTATTTAGCTTCTATTTATTTGGTTCATGGACATAAAAGTGGTATAATATTTGGAATGTTGCCTGGTCAGTACCTGCCCTACATATTCTTGTATTTCCAAAGTACACAATTCACTGCTTCCTCACCATTCACCTCTGCAGCTGGGTTTGGATTCTTGACTTAGTCCCACATGTGGATTAGGGTTTCAGTCCCTGATTCCAGCAGGCTTTACCCAGAAGGTTCTTGTGGGCTTTTCCTGTCACCTCTAAAACTGTTACTGCTTTTCATTATTCTCTCTACTTGTTTCTTCATACTTAGGACTCACAGTGCCTGGGACACTAATGAGGAATCCTGATTTCATGACCAGAATTACTCAGTGATAATAGTAACACACCTTATGGAAGAAATGGCAATAGTCCTTTCTCAGCTTGAACACAACAACATCCTTGAGCATGTCTAAGGCATACATGTCAGCCATGTACAGTACATCCCTGTGGGAAAAAATACATACTTAACCCCCTCTGGTCATCATAAATAATATGGGTTAAGTATTATTGTGATGGAATTCTCTCACCATCACTTAAATTTGACACTACAACAAAGCAGCCACACAGCGGTTAAATGAATAAGGCCTAAAAAATGGTTCCTGCGATTACATGCCTCTCAAAAATAGGGTCAGTTGGTGAGAAAATTTTTGGGGTCAAGTTTTTGTGCTGCTTGAGTGGCATGATTGGGAACAAATGCTACCAAATATTGCCATAAAGTGATAAAAACTTGTCTTAATCAATGTAAAAATATTTACAGTCAACAATTCTTAATATTTATGGACAATTTACACCATTATTTATAAAGCTAGTCAGGTAATCACAACAGCAAACTGGCCAACAATGTCCATGTATCATGTGGTGAGCGTCCATGATGCATCCAGACGGATGGGCAATAAACCCCGTGCTGCAGCAGGAAATTTTGTGGAAGCACGCTTGCTTCAAGTACGAGCATAACAACCTCACATTTCACTCATGAACACAGAAAATATACACACATTAAAGTTTTGTGAATGAACTGGCAGAAGTCTTCTTGCAACATCAACATTTTTTTGATCAACAGCTGTAGGGTTGCGTGTATGTAAAGCTAAAGTATAGTGTAATGACACCATTAGTATAGACTGGCTGCTACATTTCCATCCCATGTTCTTTGTATGGGCAAAGCGCAGCGCAGCGCAGCAGGAACCTCCGCAGCATTGCTTTAATGCATTGAGCTTTGCACAAGTGTTTTCACCTCTGTGACAGCGAAACGAGAAGGGAACTCGTGAAAAAATAACAGAAGTTTCTTTTCAAAAGTTACAAATTTAAGCAGGAAAACATAAATAAAAGGAGTTTAATTCGGAAAAAGGTTGTTCAGAGGTGATTTGACTTACCTTAGTATTACACCATCTGGAAGTTCATAGGCACCGCCATAGATGAATCGTAATGCAAGGATCACTGCAGCATAAGTGAAGCTAGATACAAAAAGGGTAAACAGATGAGCATTCTCTTTCCAACAATAAATCAACACTGAAGAAATAGATTAAAATCAACACTGAAGAAATAGATTAAAAGTTGCACATACTTAAAACATTCCCTTGTTTTATAGGTCATTTATTTTTTGTCAGACTCACACAAAAACGAGTGCCCAAATTTGTGAGAATGCGATAGTCAATCGCAGGATATATTCTAAACAAGTCAGACACACCTATATAATAAAATGACCAAAACACATAAGGCAGTCAAATGTCTACATCTCTGCTTAAGGCATTGACCCTTAGCTTTTGATGTGATGTTCCATCAGATGATTTGACATTCCCTTCTTGGATTAATGTTAGGTGTGGTTTTATTGTAGCAGTACCTATGTTTCATTTTTCAATCATGAAACAAAGCATGCTGCAAATCTCAGCTCACCTTGTGAGTTCAATCTCACATGAGCTACTTTCTCTCCAACTTCCCAGCAGCATGGCGGCGAAATACTGGGACCTGGCACACAGCATGAACCTGACGAGGACACACACAAAAACGTTTCAGAATGAACCCCTTAATGGCCTCCCTTCATAGGCCGAGACCGTGGCGTGACAAAATCATCTCTTGATGAGAAAACTAACACACAGGCTTGCACTGTTTTCTCACAGCAGTATGGTAACCACAGACCTACAACTTAAACTTGAAGTTTTTAATACCGTAATAGAAAAGCGAGAAAATCCATGAGGCTTTGAAGTTTAAAAAGTACTGATTGGTTTTTGGGATACAGGCAGGTCATAGGATCAATGAGCCAGCTTGGTAAAGTGAAGCAGTAAGCATATGTAGGTCAGTTGGAATACTAGTACTATATAAGAGACATCAGCCAATTCACCCATATTCAAGCTGGCATGCTTTAGATCTTTTATCACAAAATCTGACCTTGCCTCATTGAAATACCTAACTGTTTTTTTACAAGAACACTGAGTGACTTTTATAGAGAGATCTGAATGATATAAGACAGTTCCAACTATTCCGAGTGCCATTTCCTGACAGAGTTCATTACCAGGCATGACAGTGACCTACATGTAGTATTAGTAATTTGAAACAAAAGGAGAACAACTTTTTTTGTGGGTTGAGGACACTTGTATAAGGGCATCTATTATTCAGTATTAACCATTTTCTGCTGGGTGGATTTTTCTTGAGCAAGACAAGATGCCGCCTCATTTTCAAGATTTTCTGTTTTCAAAATTCTTCAAAAATTCATCATTTCATTTAATGGCCGTTTATACAAAAATGAAGGACTCTTTGGGCACTACTCTAAAGCTGACAGGTAAAAATCATTGACTCCTGAATATTTCAGCCAGGCCTGCAGCTTTGGAAAAAGAGCCCAGATTGAGCGGGGTTACGTAAGATTCTTTTGTTCCTGAAACCGGCAAGTGCACTGCTGACCTCTTTTCAATAGGGGCCAGATTAGCATGCAGCGGTGCTGTGTGGCTCATCGCTGCGGCGGTAGAGAGCTTTTGTCCCCGGGGGGAACCGCTCGCTCTAAATGCCTTAAACCGTGGTATGCTGTTTCAAAACAAGGCTGGATTATCTCCACTACTGAGAATGAAAAAATGTCCGTAATGCCCAGCAGCTCAGTCTCTTGTGCTGAGCACGGTCTTTTGTTATAAGGCCCAACTCTTTCGTCCCAGTTCCGGGCTCCCCGGCTCTGCATGTACAGCCTACGTACTCGAAAACTGGTCGCCCGGCAGGGAGTGGTTAAGTGAAATATCTCCACTAGGGTCTCTACTAGTTGCAAATACAAAGATCAAAAATGAAGCAATGTACTTCGGGGAAAGAAGCACCATGATTTAGTTGTAGACCGTGTCTACGTTCTATTTGACAATTCTGTTTTTACCTATGTGCAGGTATCTCTTTCCCATCTACTTTGATGATGACATCAGGAGCTGAGTCATCCGTGAAAATACCCAGTAAGTCTCTCCCCAAACGGCAAGATGCCACTGGCAGTGGGCTTTCGCCAAGGGAAGACTGCAGTCTGGTTTCTGCAGACAAGTTACCACTCTTTGCTGACACCTTGGGGTTCATCCCTGTTGGTTTGGTTTGTGACTCTGCGCTACTGGAAACTGTACTTTTCCTGCCTCCACTACCTTCAAATGATTGACTTCTATCTGATGGCTTTTCAGTTTCCAAATCTGGTTGTTCCAAGGGTCTGTCCTGCATGTCTGGAGCATTTTTTTCCATGGTTTCAGGTTCGCATCCCACTGTGGTCTTCACACTCTCCAAGCCAATATTTTCACAAATATTCATGGTTGAAGCATCAGTTGTTCCAATCTGGTTCCCAACATTAGCATCAGGAATTTCCATTTGACTTTTGAGAGAAGCAGCTTCCTGAGCTGAATTAGTCACCTGACTATTGACTGTGTTGGTCTCAGGGAGGCTGTATTCAGTGTCCACGTGTTGCTGGTCAGTGTCAGTTTTAGATTTGACCAGGTCTTGTGGGTTCATCTTACCTTTGACAACATCCCAGTCAGGCATAACATTATCTTCTGTGTATGCAGCTCTGAAAAAATAAATGCCAACAAACGCGTTGTAAGATTATTCAAAGAAATACATAGGCTTTAACTTAGAATTTCTAATCTTTTTGGGGGAAATGGAAACTTGTTCCTGTAATCATTTGCCATACATGCCCTGAAGTGTGCTTGTTGAAATGAACAACACACCTATTGTTTACCCAAACAATCCCAGAAGCCAACAATAAAATCTGAATACATTAATCTTTTTTTTTAATTTTTAAAATGAGGTTCTATTCCATTTAAACTGACCTAAGTATACTTCCAAGTAGGCTCCAGTCTAAAGTACTAAAAATGTATACATGGAATAGTTTCCATAAGTACCACCCCACCTTAGCATATTCTTAAGATCCAAGGCAGTTATGCCTAGTCCAGACAAATCAACAACTTTCTCATCCTCTTCCGTTTCTACAATCCGGGGCTGGATCACCACAGTAAAGAACTCAGCAAGGCGGGCCTGCAGGATTTCACAGTGGGCTGGTATCCTCTCTGAGTTGACAAGCAGACGGACATCGGCAAAGGTGCCCTCATCCAACAACCTGAAAGATGGAAAAAAAAAGCCTGAAAAATCTACAGGACCTGAGGTGAAAGACACAAGAGGCAGACTAGAATTAAGTTTCTGTCCCTGAATCGGTCTAGGGCATGTCACGTGTTACCCACATCTGTGCTTCTTTAAGTCGCATGAAAATGTACATGTACTATGAGAAAGTATTAGATAACACCTACATAGAACCTTGTCATTTGATTAGACGATCGTAGGTACCTTGATATTTTATAAATAGACTATTTCAAGGCTTACATCATAAACACTGAAATTTGTTAAATACACCTTGGATTTTTGGTTACATGCAGTTTGATCTATTGCACACAAAGGACTTCAATATGTAATTGGTCAACAGAGGGCACCTGTTATGCCCATGATCACTAAAATGGCAGCTGGTTCAAGCAATTTGTGTTGCTGAATGACGAGAAAATTGCTGAATTACTTGATGGAACGGACGCAAAGAATAAAAAAAACAAATTCGGTATGCTGTACGTCAACTAGCGTCTTACGCGAGGTGTGCTGGTATGAGTTTAGACGAGGTAGAACAGCGATCCGCAGCAGAACTTGGCAGTATGGGTGCACACAATGCATTGGGATAAATAATTCATGAAATTATGCAATTTACAGTCCACCCATCAGATGACAAGATTTACACATGGTAAACCCAAGAATTGAATTCTTTCTCTGGTGGTTTATAAAACTAGCCATCCTTTGTGATCTGGATAGTGCTCCATTTCAAAAGGCTTCGCCAATACCTAAATACATCAGCACACAAAGCAGACCAGATCCCTCAAAATTTACTAAAATATACTACATGACCATCACAGTCTTCTGTCTGAAGTCAAAAGCTATTCAAATGAAAAACAAAACAGCACTCCTTTGTCACTGATCACTCGTTACTTATGATTGGTCTTATGACTGGTCTAATGACTGGTCTTATGACTGGTCTAATGACTGGTCTTATGACTGGTCTTATGATTGGTCTTATGACTGGTCTTATGACTGGTCTTATGACTGGTCTTATGATTGGTCTTATGACTGGTCTTGTGATGGTCTCAACTACTATGACTGTCTGGAAAATTCTGCAACCTTGACACACCTCTTCATATCCTGACGAAGATGTTTGGCGAGGGCACCCTTCAGCTTGTCCTGCTCTTTTCGTGACTGCGCCTTGAAAGCCGAGTTAATGGCCGGAACTTTGCAGCTGTTGGTTGTCCTAGCTGCACTTCTAGCCGACGCTGACATTGTGGAAGTGATGTGGTTGTCACATTAACCTTCTATTAAAACAAACTATGGAGAGAATATAGAATTCAGTGATATTGTTGGTTGGATACACAGTCCATGGCTGGTTGAGAAAGTTTTAAAGTACATGTATATGCATTCCCTAAAAGAAGAAATATTTAGCAGTCTAGTTTGGTATTTTTGGTGATTTTTTGTTTTTAATGAAAGCGTAAAAGTGACTATAAGAACAAAGTGCATTTCTTTCCAAGGTTTGAAATTTGAAATATCAAAATTTGAACATTATCATCTTTGAACCTGCTACCCTTCCACAGCTAGTCCCCAGGCCTACTACATGCATTTTATCCAAAATGACTTGATTAAACCAGACGTGGAGTCCTGTGCACTGAAGTCAATAAAATGCAGCAACCAGTGAAACAATGGCTATGGAATGGTTTCTAGTGTCCCCTTTTGCAAGGGTATAGACCTTTTTCCTGTGATGTCACAATTGCGCTGGACCACGATGTGTTTCGATGGTAATGAGTGCACAGTGTTGTGATGGTAATGTACATGTACTTATACGCTGTACGTGCGCTTGTACGTGGTTGAAGCTGCTCGTAGGAATACATGTATGTATGCGATCACTGTGGCCACGGCGGCCTCCACATGGTGGTATTGTTCACATTTAGCACGATCCAGTCACAGCATGTGGGTGAAAAAAGTCTTTAGATCTAGCAGCAATTACATACATGCATAAGACTTGTCATTAACAATGAAATTTAAAGATTTCAACCTTAACTTCCCTTTCTGCTTGTACGCTTCCCAAATTCTTCAAAATATTGTAGCGCAATAGTCGTGACCCATGGAGTGCTCGCTAGTCGCCTTACGACGACTAATCAACTACATGTATCTGGATATCGCTAGTCATGAGTACCAACACCTTTTGGCATTGGTGATTACACGCACTAGCCTAATCAGGCGATCATACAGATCAGCTGATCTCAACCCTCAACACAATCATATTCTACCATTGTTCTACCCCCAAACTGATGAAGCCTACAGCCTTTATCATGTTCCATTGGCACAAAATTAACATCACTAACTTGGTCTGGACGCTGTCCATTTTTGTTAGAGGGCTTCCTCCAATGCACTGCATCAATGATGTTTTGGCTAAATCATACTAACACTAATTCTCCTTGGGCCTGGGCCTTAGCAGTGAAATATCGAAGTAAGCTACAGCATGCTTAATTAGTTAGAACAAGAATATATCAGACATGTTATGCATGTCAGACAAGTCTGACACTGGGAATCCTGGGTTTATGAACATGGTGAACAGGGCGTCAAGCGGCGTCTGTTTACATGGTATAGGCCCTAGGTATAAACTTCTTTCCAGGATTGCCCTCGTTTTGAATGATTTATTCTGAGACAAAACCATACAAGTACATATAGTGTTAGCTCCATCAGACCATGGAGGTATTCTACCTCCATGATCCGACTATACATGATGTATGCGTGGTGTATGCCGTGCACGGCATGTCAGTGCTTCACAATCTATCATGTCTGTTTCCTTGTTCTATAGTAATAAACTAGTATAAATATCACAGGCATGACAAGGAACAGATGCCCCTCCTTCCACCATGCATAAACGATGTGTTTATTTCTGAATGACAACGTTAAAAAGGAAGTACTAGTACAAAAAAAGTAGTAGGCCTAATGTTACTTCTTAATTTCAATTAAACAACATCTCTGATCAGACACATGTCCATTTATAATTAAAATCACACGAAATTATAAGCTTCTTTTCACTTTCTCTTAAAAGGAAACAGGTATCAAATACTTATGAAATCAGCGTAATGGTACTGGTCCGGTCCCGTCCAATACAATACTACTAAAAGTACTAGTGTTATTCTTTTCGCGACAAAACACTATCACTGAGGTGTTCGTGTTGAGGGACCAGCCTAGTACTAGTCTTGACTCACGACGCTATATAGGGTACAGTCCACTAATTCAAGCCCCATTGAAAACAGTGTAAAATCAGCACTGCTCAGAGCCCAATAACATGCATACCAACATCCTGAGATTTCAGAAACACAAATAAAATTATTGTCTCGTCCCTAATCTTTCAATTTCTTTTCATTTTTGTTGTGGCCTAGCCAGTTACATTATTAATTATTCCCACAAATAAAATCACCCCCTAAAAGTGATTTTTCAGAAGTCGGATTGCAGCCTTTTTTCAAGTGCCAACCCTCAACTTTTTCGGGCACTTACGACCATTTTTCAACCGTAGTTTTTAGCCATTCTGCTCTCATATGGAAGCTCAAAGACCCAGGGAGTTGATCCTGGCAAGGATTTACAAAATCTCACCATTTTTGGGGGGCCAAACAATCTCCACAGATACTGTGGGGGGCACTTTTAATGCTAATGATGGCTAGAAATTCTCACTTGAATTAGTGGTCTGCACCCTAAAGCTGAAAAGCAGATCGTGCATAGGGCGCCCTCTTGACTATTATCTAGTTGTACTGTACTGCTGTGCAAGGGCAGCCTACAATAATGACGGAAACCACTATAACCACCGACGTCTTGGGCTAGGATAGGACTGGCCGAACAGTAACAAGCTGGTACTCGGTAATTTTGATTATCGCGAGCATGAGCATCAGTGTTTTTCATACGATCGTACGTGCACGCACGCATCGTGGAGTAGTGTGCATACAGGGCGAGATACTGTAGTTCGCATGCTTCGGGTCTGTGGTTTGTGACTGTGAATACTCAAACTCACACCACTTAGCGTTTCATTCATTCTTTGGTAAGTGACATTATGAGGTGTGTGTCACATCATCATTCATGTAACCATGAAAGTAGATTTAATGCAATGGTCTTCGTTACCGTGCTCAGGGCCTGGGCCTACAACTTTGTTCAACATTGTCATTGAACGATTTGTAGCGGTCGCACTAATTAACGTCAACACAACGTCAACACGCGTCAACGCATGATAGTAACGTGACACACCGTCAACACACCCAAATCACGTTCTAAGTTAATAAAAACGCGATTCGATAGCAATATAATAATGCCTACAATACAATATGGCTAACAACAGTGGGCAACATTTGGGCTTAAAAGCTGTTTTATTTCACGAAAATAACACCCTCCTCACAGCCACGAAAGATAGTAATAGCCATGTTGCCCCTTAGTCAGTCGGACCATACCATTACACTACGGTGTGTTGACGCTGATTAGTACGACCCTGTTGTAGGCCTATTGTTGCGTTTGGGATCATGCACATGTATTTTGGGACCCCTCCGTTTTTACATGTAGTTTCTTTTTAATGTCGTTTAACGTCGCCCTGGAATCGCGGGGGGGGGGCGATGTCAGGGCGCAAGATAGCCCCACTACACTAGTGTGGCACGGACTCTCGCTACCACTCCATCCTACATGTACATGTACCTTAGCCTCCATGGCCACACATCCGTTTATGCAATTTGCGTGTCGGCGTAGTGAAAAAGTTCGGTGCACCCTCTTATAATCGGAGGCGCAATTTTTTTTGCACACAGAGATGATCCTTAGCCTCTCCGCTTTCTTAGCGCCATTTAATGTTGAATGATTTCACTGACGTTGTTCTGCTATTTTCCAGTCTTTTTGCCTTCACCCATTCAATCTAACGGGCTCACTCACACAGTCACCATCTTTAAAATAAGGTCGTTGAACATTACGACCCCTCATCGTCTCGACGGCTGTTCCATGTCAAGACATATCTCAACTGCTGCCCAAGTTTTGGAAGAACCAATTGGTACATGTAGTATCTTATCGCTCAGTCCGTGTATTAGATATGACATCAAAATGATCAAATCCCACAATCCAGGGGGTAGGCCTACACTGTAGGCCTATGTTTGGGTTACATGTAGAAGAGTAAATTAGGGCAAAACTTACCGCACATGTTCGTACATGAAAGGTACAGTTGACAATTTGCCTATGAGCACTTATTCCAAACAGCCATCTTTTTAAAGTAAATGTCGACAATATTTAAGTAAAGACAGTGGATGTTTAACTGTCACCGCCTGAAATTAAGGCCCAAATTATATTTAGCCAGCCACAAGTAGACAGCGCCCTCGTTGAGGCATACACATGAGTAAGCCGATAAAGGTTGTTAATTAAAGAAGCTGTTTCAATGTTTGCAATGTATTTTGGATTTGAGTGACAAGCAAGGCAATTTATACACGACCCTATGGAAGAAGTGTACCGCTACCTGCAAAACGAGACATGCAAGGTGTACAATGTACACGTGGTTCAGCGGTGGAGGACATTTTTCTGCAGTATCTCATGTTGTACAGTATTGGTATATCACATAGACAAGGTCTTATTTTTTATGCTGTGTATTTAAAATTTAATGCGAGAAAAAGTTCCCAGACCAGAGGTTCCCAAAATATCATAACCTCTGCAGTACAACACTAGCTTGAAATAGAAATTACCAGTATACATTCTGAC